GAACAGGACACACACAGTGCTTTGTGTGTGTTTACAAAGACTTCTCCAGAGGAAATTATTTGCTACAAATCTCTGAAGTGAAACATCAACATTACCGAAATTAATATGCAGCAGACTTGGTTAACAATGGCATTTCTCCAGCATCACAAGCAAGTGGTGAATGAGTTTGGGATTCTGTTTTTAATGTCCTTTTCCTCCTGCTGGAAAACACTGACTATTCCATACGACTTGTGTATCAGGAAGTTGCATTTGTTCCCTTCAGCAGTTAAAGAAACCCTGCTTGTTTCCAAGTGTTAAAATGCTGAGAGTAGATTTTCTGCGGGACTTCAGTGTTAAAATGCTGAGAGTAGATTTTCTGCGGGACTTCTACTTAGTGACCAGATTATTAGCTTTAATTTTTGATTTTTACTTTTTTAACAATCATTGCTTCAGTCATGTAATTGGAGCATCTCACCACAGTCTGCTCTGTTGAGGGGATCACTGCAAAATACAGTCAAACAGTTTGTTCCCCTCAGCTGCAGTCCATACTCAGGCCCTGAATCTGCAGGGATTAGCAAGGAAGTAGGGAGAGAGTGGTGATTTTTCCATTGGGAATTCCAATCAGATTTTTCCAAATTCAGAACCTGGTCCACTGGGCAGATTCAGTTGCTTTCCAGCAGCTGACTATACCAATGTAAAGTAGGTGAAAGCACTCATGGCAGCAAAAGCATTTCTGTACCCTAATATCTAAGCACTTCAGAATAGGCTACATACTTAAATGAGGCAGGAAAGTACAATTATCCCCGTTGTAAGAGAAGCAACTTGGGGCCATCAATGGCCAGAGTTAAGCTGTGGCTAGTCAAGCTTTCTTAAAGTAAAATAAAGTACCAAGCACATGCTATAGAACCTAAAAGTGATTTAGTATTTCCCCCCAAAATAGGAACTTATCCCTAGCAGAATCAAAGTGAAATCCATCATGCAGTTTGGTAATCCGTAAAACACTGCTATGTTGCAATTTGTTCTGGGTATATTCCTTAATGGGAATATTGCATGTCCCCTGACAATGTGATTTGTCCCATAGATTCTTAAAACAGAAGGAAGGCTGAGTCTTTTCATACCTGTGTCCTATTCAGAGAAGTTTCCTTCCCATACCTCTGCATCCAGCCAGTGTGATAAATAAACCCCAGCATACATATCACCTTAATCCATCCTGCATATCTTCTCCATCTGCTGTCATCTGCCTCTTCCTCACAATTGCATTGGTTTGTTCAGAGGAAAAGCTGAATAACATCTAAACAATATTACCTTGGCGCCATGACGGGTCATGAACTGTTCATTACTAAGCAGGGACAAGATCTCAGGATTGTAATCCATGGAAAAAAAATACACTTCACGTTCTGCGAGGGCCAAAAAACCCAAGTCCAGTCAAGTGTCAGCTATTTGGAAAGACAGGGGTAAAAAAGACTATCATCATATAAATCCACAGTGTCCCTACCCTGGATAGGATTTTGAGCAGTCCTCGTTCCTTCTGCTATAAGAAAACAAGATGAATTAATGTCTCGATAAAAGTTATGGAGACAGCTTCCAGCAACGATTGACTGGGACACATTCCAGGAAGTGCTTTAGGAGAACCATTTGAGCATGCAGGGATAAGATTGTGAAGGCTAAAGCTAGACCAGAGTTAAAACAAGTGAGGGATGTGAAGGACAATAAGAGGATCTATAGGTACATCAGAAGCAAAAGGAGGACTAAGGAAATTGTGGCATTGCTGTTACATGAGGCAGAGCATTAGTGGTACAGGACATAGAAAAGAATGCCTACTGGCATGGTGTGGTCTTGGAGCTCCCAGATTCCTATGGGTAGTAGCAAAGCCTGAGGGAGAAAGATGATGTTTTCAGAAGAGGAGGAGGAAGCTATGGATACTTGGATAAACTGCACATATGTAAACTCACAGCATCAGATGGAAAGCAACAAAGAACACTGAGAGCTGGCCAATGTCATTGTGAGGACACCTTCTGCCATCTCTGAATGATCATGGCATTTGTGAGAGATCCCTAAGGGACAGAGGCCCCTGGGGTATGGAGATCATGGAAGGTATGGTTGAGCAGCTTTACCTGAAACTCTGGAAGATTATTTCCAGACTCAGTAAGAGCAAGAATGTGACTGGAAACAGCCAGCATGGATATACCAAAAGCAAATAATGCCTGACCAGTGATGAGAAGACTGGCTATGTAAGTAAAAGGGGACCAGGTGATGTTGTTTACTTGGATTTATACTGTGACATGCTTCCCATAGCATCCACAGAGTCAAGCAGGAGATAAGGACTGGACATGTGGGATCTGCAACAGAGAAAGGGAAAAGCAGCAAGACAGCGCATATTACAGATCCAGTTTTCTCAATATTATTATTTCTGAGGTAACAGGAAAGCTCATGGCACAATAAACTGTGGCCTGAATCTGAAATTTTAATACATGAAAGTTGGCAGTTTTTGCTACTGTGTGGGAGTAAGCCTCCAGATGCAGAAGGGCTGTGCTCATTCCAGTGATTATTTTTAGATGATTACCAATGTCCATCTGAGCACAACAATGTACCCTGCTTTCAGATCACACTGAAGTACAAGAATACTTCATTCAGTCCTAATATTTCAATTATACATCTGTCCACCATGTTCCCTCTGAGTATTAGGACTCTCTGCACTGATGCATAATGATGTTAAGTCCACTGGTCTTACCAGCTATTAGCCTGCAACATACATATTAGGACTTCCATAATTGTGCTAAAAACTGTTATACATTCATGTGTTCTTAAACTCATTTCCTGGTCCAGACCTTGGCTTCAGTATCATGTTTTTGAGAATTTATGTTTATGGTTTTAACAGCTTATTCTAACATTTGAGAACTTCTCATATTTCTAGTTTACACTTTTAAAAACAAAACAAAAAAACCATACTTTCTGCCACAATAAAACCACCTCTGTTTAATTCCTCTTATTAGGGGATAATGTAAAAAACATACAGATCGGTTTTCCTTTTTTTCTTTCTACTTACTCCTTCTCCCCTTCAGTGCTTGCAGATCCACATATTTAAAGCTTAAAAATTCAATATCCAAAAAAAGTCATATTTCGCATGCGTTTGCCAATTTTGAAATTATTTGATCAACCTGCTTTCAGCACTGACCTGCCAAAATGCAACTTTTACTTATGTTTTTAAAATCCCACAAAAAGAGTACTTGCAACACATAGGCCTGGTTGTAGGAAGGGGAGGGAAAGGAATTACCCAGGAGGCAATGGAAAAACTATTCATAGGAGCAGAGGAGCAAGCCAGGCCTCAGGCAGGGCGGATCAGAGGATCAGAGGGTTTCTTGCCCAACCTACAGGCTGCATCCCTGAGCCTCACTCCCGACCCTTCCCAGCCCGTTAGTCAGCTCTGCCCTTTGTGCACCGCAGGGTGTTGGGTTTGAGTATCGCCAGGCTTGGTGACCTAAATTTACACTATGGTGGCCCTCTGCCCACTGCTGCAGGCTGGGACAGCAGGCCTGCTCCCACATTAAGGAAGCTTCCCAGCTTTTGGTCTCTCCATCCTCTCCTTGCTTGCATGCCAAGGGGCTGGACAAGGCAGGATTGGCCAGGCCTGGCACTGCCTGTCCTCTTGTGCTTAGGCCGGCATATGGCTCCAGCATGGGCTCCCCTCCAGAGGTCACTGACCGTTCCCCTTCCAGCATTCCCTCCTGACAGCCAGCCTTGGCTGCCTGCCCAGATTAAACCCGATAAACCCTGGGCAGGCTGCCATGGGGCCCACCAGTCGGGCTAGAGTCTGTGGTGGGGCTCAGTGGGGACCTGCCGAAGGCATGGAGTTGGTGGCGGCCACTCTCCTTGTACGCAGCAGTGATGGCCCCTTGCTGTGCTGGCAATCCCTGGGCTGTGCCCTGGCCTCCATGGCTACTAGCACAGCTGGGCGTGTGTGTATGTGTGTGTGTACGTGTGTGTGTGTGTATGTGTGTGTGCACGCAAGGGTCTGTACATATGTGTGTGCATCCATGTGCGCCCACATGCCTGTCGTGTTTCAGCCTGCATGCACATATATGTACATGTGTGTGCCATGTGCATGTGCATTCACATAACGCAAGAGCACCTGTGTGTGCTCATGGGCACGTGCAACCCTGCATACATGCCTCCTACATATGTGTCTTTATGTGCGTGTCCCAGGGTACGTGTGCCTGCATGTGGGTGTGTATGTACGTATGTGTACCTGTCAACCCACACATGTGTAATGCATGTGTCTATGTGTGATATGTGTGTTTGTATACGTAAATGTCTGTATGTGCATGGTTATGTACATGTGGGTGTATGTCTGTATATGTATGTGCGTAAATATGTGTGTATGTATGACTGTGTGCAGGTACGCATGTGTATATTTGTGTGTATGTGGGTGTGTATGTATATGTGCGTATGTGTGCATATATATGTGTATGTCTGTATATGTGTGTCTGTAAATGTGTCTGTATATGTGCGTATGGGTGTGTGGGTGTGTACGTATATGTTCGCATGTGTGTGCATGTGTGTGGATATGCCTGTGTATGTATACGTATGTGTCTATATATGTGCCTGTATACATGTGTATGTGCCTGTATATGTGTGCGCGCTGCCGACCAGCCGCGCACCCCCACAGCCCTCCGTGCCCCTCGCCCACCCGCGAGTCACAGCCCCCCCGCGTGTTGCGACTGCGCACGCACGGTCCCGCGCCCCGCCCCGCCCCGCCCCGCCTCGCCCCGCCCCGCCTCGCCTCGCGCGCCGGGCTGACAGCCGCTCTACTGACGGAGAGGAGCCCCGGCCCATCCCACCACCTCCCCCTTGCCCTCTTCCAACATGGCGGCCTTCGCCTCGCATGAGTGAGTGCGCAGGCGCCGCCCCGCCTCGCCCTTTCCGCCGGGCGCCGCCGCAAGCGCACAGGGCCGGAAGGCGCCGGTCTGGCCACTCTCTATGGTTCCCCTCGGTGGGTAGCGCGCCGCCGCCTCGCCTCGCCTCGCCTCGCCTCGCCTCGCCCCCGCCCGCGCTGCACGCCGGGACACGGCCGGTCCTCCCTGCCTCCCTCCCGCCCCCCCGCGCGCCCCGAGCCTGCGCCGCGCCGACATCCGCGTTGTCCCAAGATGGAGGCGCGGGGCTCGCGCTGAGCGCGGCCCGGCCCGGCACAGCAGCAGGAGCAGCAGTAGGAACAGGAGGAGGAGACGCGCCCGCCCGGCCCGGCCGCCTCTCCCTCTCCGCCCCGCCAGGCCGCGGCTCCGGCGGCACCTGCAGCAGCGGCGGCGGCGCCTCCTCCTCGCCCGCGGCCCGGCCCCGAGCGCGGCGCGGCCCCCGCATGAGCCCGGGCGGCGGCGGCGGCGGGAGCGCCCCGGAGCAGCAGCCGCGGCGCCCAGGTCCGTGTGGGTACCGCGCAGGGTGGGAGCGGGGATGGCGCCTGGTTCACGCCGACCCTGGAGGGGAGGGAGTCGCGGGAGAGGCGGCCTTGCCCGCTCTCCGCCGCCAGGGTGGGGAGGGCGGACGGGAGGCAGCGACCCCGGGGTCCTCTCCCGCTCCCCGGGAGGCACACGGGTGTGGAGCCGCCCCGGCGCTCCCCAGGAGCGGGAAGGCCGGCCGGGCGGGTGGCTCCGGGCTTCCCCCGCCCCCCCGGGAAACCGGGTTCGCCGGGCGACCTTGGATGAACCCGCCTGCCCTGCCTCCGCTGCCCGGCCCGGGGCTGCTCCGCGGGACTGCCCTGGGCATAGGCCGGTTCGTTACCATCGGCGCGGCCGGTGCGGTAACGGGAAGTGCTGCGAGGGTCTCTGACCAGTGTGCAGGGCCTGCTTCACAAAGTGGCTCCGTTCACTTGCTCGTGTTACCTCCTGCGCAGCCTGAGGAGTTGGGTCTGCTCACCTGTGCGCAGGCAGCCTTGATGATGCATGTGATCGGTCGCTCCTGATTGCGGGTCTTTCTGGGTTTCAGTTTTTAAGCAGTATTTCTCTTAAAGGATGTTATGGTTCACTGTTGATTTGTAAATCAGATGTCTAAGACGATGTGTTGTGGTCGTTCAGAAGTTACTACTGCTTAGGAAACAAAACATGTTCCACGACTCTACTTTAAGTGGCAGGAACCTGTAATCTATAGACTTGCGGTTATTCCTTTTTTGTTTTCCCTCCAGTTAATGAAAATACTTGTTTGTATTTCCTTCTATGTAATGTGTCTGATGTTCTAACTGAGACAAACCACGTGTCTTACACATCACTTCAGGGATGCTCCCTCTGTCTGTGTTGAAACTTACCTGCCTCAGTAGGAGTCTGCAGACCTGAAGCCCTGTGAGAACTTGGCTTCTCAGATTGGTTCTGTCGAGCATCTTGCACGTCTAGCAAAAACTTGCTGAGTGGAAAATTGTACCCAATTTTTACTTTGATTTCCTAACAAAGTAAGACCTATGTGGTTGTATTGTCAGTTTATCTTTTGTTTTTCTGACTGGCTGACTGGTTTGAAAGGGAGAGGTCTAAAAGATAAGATTAAGTTCCTAATTCATGCAGATAGCATCCACTTAAAGAGAGATTCCCTGCTAAGGGAGAAGCTACACTCTTAGAGGTTGTACTGTGTTGTTAAACATCTATGACTGGTGGGGGAGAATAATGCAGGTGGTGAGAGGTACCTCTTGATAAGAATGAAAACTGCTGGGAAACGGGCTTTACACTTCTCACAAACTGCTTGGTTTGGATGGTGGCACTGAATACTCTGTGCCCTTTTATCATGGAAGCAGTTTAAGGTACTTTTGAGAAATTGGAAAACATGCTAAAACTCAGTTTAATGAGTGTGTTGAATTGAAAATATTAAATGTGCATTGCTAAACTGCTCTGGATATGTGAAGAAAACTATCACTTATGTTTGTCTTTTAAAACAGATGTAGTTTGCAGTGCTTATGACTTGTCTTCCTTATAGTAATATTCTGTCAACTCAATACAGAAAAACATTCAAAGAAGACCTAGTCCACTGCTTAGGTTTACAAAGCTGAAAAATACCTTTAATTGAAATTATTTCTGTGCAATATTATAGATGCTTCATCTCTTTTACAAATACCTTCCATTCTGCTGTAAATGTTTGCTGTTTAATGTAGCATCTTTCCTAATGGAATTAACAAGTTAATTTTGTTTATCAGAGTTCTTTGCTCTTTCTCTTCACTGGAGTGTCCTGAGTATATCCTAGGAATTTAGAAACAAAACCACCAATTTGGCAATATCAGCAGTTGATTTGTTTGGGTTCGTTTTGGGATATGGTTCTGTGACCGTGTAGAAAAAGCCAGGCTTGAAAAAGCAGAGACTTTTTCACAGGAGTGTGCTTCAACGCCTGGATTTCTCAGTCCAAGTTCTCCTCAGAACTCTGAAGTTGTGTGTGTTTAATCCTTTTTTTTCAATACCAAACAAAACTTATTTTTTTTTTTTAATTGCTGCTGTTGCTTAAAAACTTGCAAACAATGATTCTTTTGCGAATGGACTTGAAATTAGATGTATATGTTAAATACATATAGGGATGTTCTCAGCTTGTTAGAGCACCTTGAGATTGTCCCTATTCTAATTGACTCAAGAAAATAAAACAGGTTCTTTTTCATATAATTTAACTTCTCTTTCAAAAATATGAAATGACATATGTACCACAGTATCAAATCATTATGTTTCATTATGATTATGTCCCTTGTTGACATTTTCTTCACTAGTTCTCTGAATTCTCAGGTTCTATTTACCGAATAAATAATAGGGGTAGAAATATCTTTGAGTTTTAAGTAATAAACATGCTTAATTGTGAACATATTTAAGTATATAACATTTTAATAAACAATAATTAGTGTAGTACATGATATGACACTTATGATGAAATTAATTTAGTGATTACCATTTGTAAATATGCATCATCTTAATTTTGGCTGTGCAGGAAAGAATTTTCTTCCACCCTCTGCTACTTTTAGTTTCAGTTTACTTAGTGACTGTCCAGAGAGAATTCATCTTTTTTAAGCACAGGAAATGTCTTTCTCCTTCCCCACACTGATGTATTCATACACCTGAAGATAAAAGCCACTAATTTTTAAAAATAGAACATGCAATTGAGGGAAAAGGGGACAGAATTCATGAAGTATGTAGGCATATATCTCATTTCCAGCATCAGTCTTCATTTCTGGTACTGTGGGCCGGGTCTTCACTCTAATTAATGAACTGATATTGATTTTTAAACAAAGGAAGCGTGTTTTACAATTTTTCTGAATTATCCTGTATATTTAAGGTAGTTTTATAGTTCCATAGAGAAGCAGTGTTGAAAAGTTTCCTGTCATTAATCAAATTCTGATTTGTACATGGAAGGAGAGGGTTAATAAATTTGTTACCAGGGTCTGTAACAAAAAAATCTAGAGTATGTTGTTTACTTAAAAAAAAAATTACTCCTTCCCCCCTCCCAGAAATGTGCTGTAAGCGTTGCTAAATAGCTGGTTCCCAGAGACAACAGCAATGAGCAAATCTCTTGTTTGAAGTTAATTTTGTCACCTTAGATACTTTGACCTCGGCGTTTACTGCATTAACTTCTGGTATTTGCAGGCAGTGCCTGACAGCCTCATAAGGTTGTGTTGTCCATGAATAAAAGTTTGGGAAAAAGCTGGTTCGTATGAATACTGATGTGTCTAACATACCTGGTTGGTTAGCAGAAGGCCAGCAAATACAATCTAGAGGTAACATTTTGTAACGAAGCCACACTTCAGTAGCTGCACCAGCTGGTGACACATTTCTTCAGAAAATAACCTCATAGGAGAAACATGAAAAAGAAAATGAAACAATGTTGAGATCCAGGTTTGGCAATATAACACGTGACTAAATAGCACTTTAAATTGCTATTTTTGAATAGTTCCACCTTGCTGCGGCTAGGAGTGACAGAACTTATGGACAAAATAACTTACTGGGTGCAAAATTACATTATAAATTAAATATTACCACGGTGTTCTGTCTCAGAAAATACTCTTATGAGTGAATGTCTTAAAGGAAGCATTAACTACTTCTTACTTACCTTAATAGGTTGAGCCTGCTTCCCTGTATTATGCAAACTGATGAATGGAGGAAGGGGGTGGAAGTCAGTCTTTACCAATATTCTTTCCATGATCATCCTGCATGGCTCTTTGCCCATGTTTTACAGAGTGGTGAAGAATTAGGAGAAGCTGCAGTTGTTCAGCTGAGTGGAACTAAATGGGTGACTTCCCTCTGGACCCTCACTTCGCTGTTTTAGGTAAGAGGGGTGATTTGCTTCTTTTGAAGCAACTTGCATTTTCTTAGAGCAGAAGTGTATGTGTTTTAACAGAAGCTTCTGGTTAGCAAAGCAGAGGTTTGAACTTTTTTTTCAATCTGGTGGCTTGAAAGGGGTGTTCATAGCATGTAGCTGTCCCAGTACTTTCATTGAAAAGTGTTGCTGTTTGCATCCATTCAAATAACTTTAAAAACATGCTTCATATACTAACATGATTTCATTTTGAGGATCGTGCTTACCTTATGTATTATGTCAAAAGTGGGACTGTCACCAGAGGTGGATCACAGCAGTGATGATTTAGGACAAACTTGAACTGGTGTACCAGTTGACTGCTTAATATGGAGTGTACTACTTTGTTTTTCCATAGACTTGGAATAGTTTGGATTGGAAGGGACCTTTAAATGTCATCTAGTCCAACCTCCCTGCAATAAGAAGGAACATTTTCAGCTAGGTCAGGTTGCTCAGAACCCCGTCCAGCTTGACCTTGAACGTTTCCAGGGATGGGGCATCTCCCACCTCTCTGGGCAACCTGTTCCAGTGTTTTACCACCCTGATTGTAAAAATTTCTTTTCTTATATCTAGTCCTCATCTACCATCTTTTAGTTAAAAATCGTTACCTTGTCCTGTCGTAGCAGGCCCTTTTAAAATGTTTGTCCTCATCTTTCCTATAAACTCCCCGTAAGTACTGAATGGCTGCAGTCAGGCTTCTCCAGATCCTTCTCTTCTCCAGGGTGAACAACACCAGCTCTCTCAGCCTTTCCTCACAGGAGAGGTACTCCAACCCCGTGATCATTTCTGTGGCCCTGCTCCGGACTTGCTCCAACAGATCCATGTCTTTCCTGTGCTGAGAACTCCAGAACTGGATGCAGTACTCCAGGTGGGGTCTCAGAAGAGTGAAGTAGAGGGGCAGACTCGCCTCCTTCAACCTACTGGTTCTGCTGCTTCTGATGCAACCCAGGATACATTCTGGTCCGCAAGCCATCAGTATCTCCAAGTCCTTCTCTGCACAACTGTCAATTCCCTCATCCCTCAGCCTGTATTGACACCAGAGGTTGTCCTGACCCAGGTTCAGGACCTTGCACTTGGACTTGTTGAATGAGGTTCCCATTGGCCCACTTTTCAAGCTTGTCCAGTTTCCTCCTGGTGGCATTCCGTTCCTCAGGCCTGTCAACCACATCACACAGCTTGGTGTCGTCTGCAGGTTTGCTGAGGGAGCACTAAAATCCCGCTGTCTGTCAGTGAAGATACTAAACAGTGCTGGTGCCAGTATGGACCCCTGAGGGATACCAGCTGCCATTGACATTCGTCTGAACATTGAACCATTGACCTTCTGCATGCAACCATTCAGTCAATTCCTCATCCACCAAGAGTCCAGCCATTAAATCCACATCTCTCCGATTTAGGGTGAAGGGTGTTGTGGGGGACCAAGTCAAAGGTCTTACACAAGTCCAGCTAGACAACATCAGTAGCCCTCCCCTTGTCCACTGGTGCAGTCACTGTATCATAGAACAGCACTAGGTCGGTCAGGCAAGACTTGCCCTTGGTGAAGCTGTGGTGGCTGTCTCAAATTGCCTCCCTGTCCTCCATATGCCTTCATGTTCAGTCCTTTTGTGACAAAATGTCAAAGCTGTGACCTAAATAATTAAAGACGAAATTTATGTGTAAACTATAGGATAGTTTGAAACCCGAAGGGAATTTGATCTTGATGGGTTGTGCATCATCCAGTAGGATCGCAAGCAGAAAATCATGGAACGTGTATTTGAGGTCTGTAGTTGCTGCATAACTATCTGGCAACAATTAGTCCATATAGTTTGCTTTTCATTCTGGTGTCATGTGAAAACTGTGACAGAACTTCTGTCTTGACTGAGATAGAGTTCTAGAGGTGAAACTAGTTCATCTCTACTTCACAGAGAAGACCACCATCTTTGTTTCCTTTGACAGACCCCTTTTAGGACTTGTTAATACTTTCTTGATAGTCATTACACCAAAGAAGTTGATGAAACGAGGAGATTAGGATGACAAACACTCCTCTCCCTTACCTTTAGGAGCTGTGCACAGAGGAGGCACAAGAGCGATCAGTATTGTGTTGCCAAGCTTGCACAGTGCTGAGAGATGCCAGGCTTGTCCAGGCAGCCAGTCTCTGGCATTACTTGTGTGCTCCTGCTCTGGTATGCTCTGTGGGACCCAGGCTGGAGCAGCTGCCGTTCAGCAGACTTGGGGTGTTAGAGGGTGGTGGAGTGGCTCTTAAAGGAGCTGAACTTCTGAAGTGGGACATATGTCAAAATACTTCAAGAAAGGCTATCATAGTTGTAGATGAATTTTTCTTTTGCGTTATGGTAGTCATGTGTTTGAGCTGACTACTGTAATGCTTAAAATATTTTTATTTTACAGTGTGGTGTTTTTCATTTTCTTAAAAGGAATCAAAAACTTTTGCAAAGCTAGATAATACTGAAGAAGTTTACCACTACCGTATAATTTCTGTTTCTAGTACAATGTGTCATCTTTCTTATTTGTATAGCCATATTCAGGTAATGATTGCTTTTTTTTTTTTCATAGTGAAATCTCATGTCCAAAGTCTTGGTGATGAATATTATGGTTTACTATGTGTATACACCCTACTTTATTTTTAGAAAGTCCAAGGTATACCAGTGTACACTGACTGAGTAGCTAAATCCAGGCATGTTTCAGCTGTTGTAGGAAAATTTGCTCATTGTAGATAATAGAAATACATACTTAAGAGTCCACACAACCTGCAAATCCCATCAGAATTCCGGGACAAGGGAATTCCTGAGAGAGTGTACCACTTCTGTGAAACACTGGTATTTTTTGGTTGTGAAGGTTGAGCCCTTTACATAGTAAGGTTGTGATAAATACTCCATTTGCAGGATTTCTATAACCTGAATATCTTATTGAAAGAAAGATGTTTGTGAATACTTGTTTTTTATTTGGCTAACGTGATTTTGGTTAAATTTTATTTTGATTAACGTTAAAATGTCACTTGTGGAAGAAAATTATTATTAATTGAATTTAAATATTTGAAATTGTATTAGAAAATCTATAATACTGGGTAACATACCTACCATTTTCTTTAGAGTAATGCTCTCAGAATTTTTTCTTCTATTCTTGTTGTATGACAGTTATTGAAAAAAAAAAAAACAACTAGGCAAACAACCCAAATACGCAAGTGGAAAGTATCATTTAAGGACTAATAGAGGTGATTTTATGATATCTTTTATCAAACCAGATATGAGAGTTGCAAAGCATTTTTTGTAATTTATAATTAATTTCTTAAATATTTTGCAATTCTGTTTAGTACCGTGTGGTTAATTCAGTAGTTTAGAAGTCTGTGTTATTATAATCCAGTGTGCCTTGAAGTTTCTTTTTCTTATTCTAAAGGTGAATGTGAAAGCATGTCTGACTTCATGAAATCATTTTCATTCCTTTTGGACAAGCATTACAGATCCTCATTTCATTTTGTTGTTGGCCATGTAATCTTTGAGCAAACGTTTTTAGTAGACTGCTGAACTCTCTGTTCTGCCTTAGTGGTGGCTGGTGGGTTGAGACTGAAGAAGGAGAAGTGGAAGTCCAGGAATTTCAGTTTTGTGTTGCTGGAATTATTTGCTCTTCTGCTAACTGCGTGTTATCATGCAAATCCCCTGTCTACATCTCCTCCTTTGTGGTCTTGTTTGCTCTATCAATGGTACTGTCCTACACTACTCCCTAGCTTCAGTTATCTTGGGAAACATTGTTTCCTCCTATTGCTGAGCAATATTCATAAGATCCCTGGTAGATGTATTTGTGATACTTCTTCATGCTGTACTTGGTGCTCTCCTCCTTCTCTGTGCACGCTGAAAATTGGTGCTTTTGTACCTTAGAAGAGAATGAGAGAATTTTATACAGATGACATTGCTCTGTGTATGTACAGGAACAAATATATACATTGAAGTTTAAGATGGAAGTCCTGCTATGCAAGGTGTGAAAATATTGGTCGCATTTCTTAGAATACTTTTAACTGAATGTTAATGGAGTTACCGTAAGTGAAGAATTATTCTTCAGTAGAATATAAGGGGTTGTGGATTTCTGTTGTTGATATGGAGTGGAAGTGCTACCTCCAAACAGGAAAATCATCAGTTACTCTTTCATATTGTTCAAATAAATTTTTCTTTTTTTCTTCTGACTGGCAGTAAAGTTTTCTTGATACAGTTGTGTATCATTAATCCTAACTCTACAGAAAGCTCCCGTAATTATTAGAATTTTTTATCAAAATAGCAGCCTTGTTTCATGAAACAGGTAGGGTGCCCTATATAACTTTTTTTTATTACAAAAAATTGTGTATAAACTGTTAGTGCTTAGAGCTTTACTGGCAAGACTCTGTTGGTCCAGGATCACCCCATTTCACTTTTCTGATAAAGGAATGGGCCCTTGGCACTAAATGAGGTTTGACGTATTTAAAGATAAACCTGAATCTACGCTTAAAGTAACCAGATCGGGATTTCCTTCATGAGAACTCTGATCTGTGTTGGAGATCAGCCTAAAATAAGCTCTGTTGGATTTTTTTGTTCTTAATAGAGTTTTTAAACCAAGAAATTATGTATCAAATCTTCATGGTACTGAAAATGTATTACTCTGTGCCAAATGACTAACTTTTTGGAAAGTAATTGCTAGATTTCATAGAATCAGGGAGTGATTAGGGTTGGAAGGGACCTTAAAGATCACCTAGTTCCAACCCCCCTGCCATGGGCAGGGGCACCTTCCACTAGACCAGGTTACTGAGAGCCCCATTCAGCCTGGTCTTGAAGATCTCCAGGGATGGGAAGTCCTGTAGTATCACTACAGGGGAAAGAATAGGGAACACTGTTTGTATGAACTTTCTGCTTTTGTAGCTTCCTTAACTCAGTAAGTATTTTCTGTTGTGTTTTTTTATAGGAAGTATGATTTAGTTTGGTAAGTTATATGGTTTAGTTTTAGGTATCCTGTGAGGAGCAAGGAGTTGGGTGCAATGATCCTTGTTAGGTTCCTTCCAAGTTGACATACTGTACAATTCTGTGTTTCCTTTCTTTACAGACTTGTGACTAATTGAATAGCCATTCTTGAATGGATTGTCTTAAAGTCGTATTGAGCTTCAGATCAATATGGAGCATGGTGCAAAAACTGAACTGTAATGTTTTGCATTATAGGTACAAGAACTGTAGAAGTCCATTTTGGAATTTGAAAGAGCAAGATTGTTCAGCTCTTGAAAGATATGGTATGTTTATGTTTTCACTTATATTATTTGTATTCTAGTAATTATAAAAGCAAATAGTTACACTTTTGTTTCTTGATTTTAAAAAGAAAAACAAAGTTGAAAATAAATTCAGGAAGAAACACACATTCATTTGCCCCTTATTTTTTGATGATGTTAACTATTACTTAATCGTAATTCTCTAGAAAACTGAATTATTTGATTTTTCTTGGAGAAAATAAATACTCGTGATATAACATTGATGAATTCCCTTTTGATTTAACAAACTCAGCATCATGCTGCTACCATTCATTTATTTCTCCATGGATTAGATAAGAATTGGTGTTTTTCTGAAAGCTGTGTGGGTTGATTTTATTTGCTGCTGTACACCCTTTAGATATGACTCGAAAAGTAAGTTCAGAACTACTAAAAACTTATGCAATCATCAGTGTAAGTCAAATTTACAGATAGGAATGCTGTGAATTACAGAAATATAATCTTTTCTAGCAGTGTTAACATAAACCCATGGTACATGTATCTCTTTTTGTCTAGGCTCCTAAGTGTCCAACCAGTTTAAAAATATGTACGTGTATTGCAGCAGGGTTGTAACTTGAACTTGTAGTTATTTTGATTTCCATTTCCTGACTTTATTCTGGTGTAGTTCTGTGGAGATACCTGGTATTCCTGTGTACCTGGAGATGCACCACTTTGCAGTGTCTTTTAAGTCCTATAGTTCTGCAACTTGGTATATATAAAGAATTTTTTAAACTGTTTGCATCACTGCATTCAAAAAACCAATTATTGTTTAAGTTAATTTTTCTACCATATTAAATAGGTCTGTTAATGCATATGTAAGATTGTATGTAGTTACTTCAACAACAGCTTCTAAGCTATGCGTGTACTTCCTCTTTTAACCTCTTAAAATATGGGGAAGAGCTCAGTAACTGCTGACAGAAGTTTTCTGTGCCATGGGTTTATGTCTGGATTTTTCTTTTGAAGGTAATTTACATAGGAATGTACTTAAAGTTTTGAAGTCTCAAGTTTGCAGAAAAGTTGTTGGATGTTTTTAAGTTGTTTTGTAGGAAGCTATAGATAGGTGATAATAATATGATTAATTCTAAGCTGGAACTTTAGCTGTAGTGTATACTAATTAAAAATTGTAAATCTGTCAAAAAGCTACAATGTTACATTATCACAATCCAGATGTTCCTGAGAGAATTGTGTAGATTGGTCCTTTACTCTAGCAGGCATCTGGCAGGTAGTGTATATTCATTTTTGCACCCACAGCACCACTGGGACCACCCACCTGCTTCTTGCTCTCCAGTTCAATATCAGTTGTGTGTGTGATGGCTCTTCAAACCTAAGCCATTGTTTATTTATTGCCATTATTCCTGCTGGCTGCTTTTTTTCTGGATGTTTAACTGCTTGCCACTGTATGTACGTGTAGAGTCTTTGTAATGATATGTGCTTCATAAAGTGATGAAGAATTCCCCTCTAGTCCCCCACAAATGGTGAGTAGTGAATACTACTGGAACATCAGAAAAGCTGAATGTCATGCTATAAAATTGCATGGTTGCTTGGTCTTAATATAAACTGTATTTAAACAAACATGCTGGTGACACTGAAGACTTGGTGAACAGAAAGGTGCTTTACATGGAAGGCAACATGAAAACTGGGTGGCAAAAGAAATCAAAATAACAGACCATAAGCAAAAGGACAGACAGAATGAAAGTTTAAATATTAAAGTTGAAGCAAAGCTGTAAAACTTACCTGAAAGTAACTGAACTTGATAATCAACCAGTAAAAGAAGAGGTACTAAAAGAAATTTAAATAGATGATTGGATTTCACCTACTGATGTAGGAGGGGCTTTCTATTCATAACTGTATATCATTTTGGAGGGAGCCTGGAGTAACAGGTATAACTGAAATAGAAACAAATGGTTCTGCTGCAAAAAAATTAGGAGTGTGTGTAGTGGAAGAAAAATCAGCTGTAGTCTAAGTGAAAAATGCAGAAGCTAAAGATAATTTTGAGTCTCTCCTTCTTTTACAAAGGTGAATAAAATACATCTATGATCTTACTGAAATAGCAAGCCAAAACTAAATGTTGAAGGCAAAATCTAGGGTCCAGAGTTGCAGGGGCAGTTGTAGAAAATGGAAATAACACACAGACCTTTAACTTTGACTTGAGGGGAGGGAATGAGGGCAAACATTAGATATTTTTCTGTTATTCTGTGCTTTGTGGATATCATGGTTTAACCCCAGCTGGCAACTGAACACCACACAGCCACTCTCTTACTCCCCCAGCAGTGGGGAATGGGAAGAGTAAAAGTGAGAAAACTCATGGGTTGAGATAAAGACAGTCTATTAGATAAAACAAAAGCTACACACACAAGCAAAGCAAAACAGAGAGATTGTTCACCACTTCCCATGGTCAGGCAGGTGTTCTGCCATCTCCAAGAAAGCAGGGAACATGTGACAGTTTCATGCGTTCTGTCACATGAAACAATGACTTGGGAAGGCAAATGCCATGACTCCGAACATTATCCGTGTTCCTCCTTCTTCCCTCAACTTTATATGCTGAACATGACACCATATGATAGGGAAATGTCTCTTTGGTCAGCTGGGGTCAGCTGTCCTGGCTGTGTCCCCTTCCAACTCCTTGTGCCTGCTCGTGGGTGGGGTGAAGAGCAGGAAAGGCCTTGACTCTGTGCAAGCACTGCTCAACAGTAACAAAAACGTCCCTGTGTTACCTATGCTGTTCCCTGCACAAATCCAAAACACAGCTCCACACTAGCTACTGTGAAGAAAATGGACTCTGTCCCAGCCAAAACCAGCACAGTAGAGTATTGACATAAAAGCAAAGTAAGTATACAGATATTATAGGATGGAGATTTATATAAATCGATGCTCGATCTCTTTGTATTGAGATGCACAAAATTCTACCTTTATTAAACTCATAACTTGTATATTTACTGAAGTGTAAATTCCAAAATGGCACCAACTTTAATTTGAAGACAGTAGCAAATTCAGATCCCCACCCCAAATAATTTCTTCAAGTATTACTTGTCCTCATTATCCTGCATTCTTCAGTTTCTAGTCATGGGGTGTTTGTGTGCTTTCTTTTAGTTGGAAGATATTTTTGTTCTTTCTGTGCTATGAGAAGACTTTAGTTTCTTCCAGTGTCCATAATTATTAGCTTGATTAACTTTGAATTCTTTTCATTGTCTAATCACAACGCATTTTCCTCTATCTTCATGTTGTCTTTGTAGCTCTTTTCTACTACACTTCTGAAGAATATTGAATAATTGGAGAACTGAGTTTAAGTTTTGAAGGTGTCTGAAATACTTTGTACAGATGAATAGACACTTTTCCATGAATCCTTCATGAGTCATATCTGTCATTCTTGTGATACTCGGAGCGTGTGTACGTTTTGCTCATTGGTTGTGACTGCCTTAGTCACTTCAGGTTGGCATTTTCTAGGATAGAACCCAATTCTTTTGGTCTTCTAACGAATGTGATTTTGCATTTGTTGTTATTAGTTGAATTGTTTCGTTTACTGGGCAGTGGAAAAAAAACCAACATATAGATGCCTTATTACTGTTTGGTTGGGTTTTTTTGTGGCTCCATTAGGATTTATATGATCAGATTGTATTAGTGCTGGTTTATTTTACCGTAGGATCATTAATAATTTGACCTTCTAATTAGATGCATGAAGACAACTTCTGGAATCTTATGACTTTTTATGTTTTGTGTGTTGGAAGCAGCATGCAGGCAGCCAAAGTAAATGATATTTCCAACCTTATCAAGAAATTAAGGCTTAAATGTGCCTATTACATTATTTATTTGGTTTTTCTCTGCAGATGACAATTAAGATTGAACGTAGGGATTTGGTAAATATTCTTCAAGACACTTGAATCAATCTCAAATTATAAAAGGCCAACTTTCCTATCAGTTGTCAGTTCCTTACTGTACAGAGATGACTGTTTCGTTGTGGTGTTCAAAGTCATTCTGGGAACATATAAAATTCATTCTCAGAGGATTCAGAGGGATTCTTCAGAAAACATACAAAAGCTATCTTTAGTGGTATCTTCTTGAGATGATTAATTAAGCAACTCAGATTCTGATGCTGGATGGTAAGGTAGATCATGGCACTTCTTTGTACAGATGTGAATCACCCCCATATTCAACATAGATCAAAAAGAGAATAATAAAAAATAATTGGATCAAAGATTACTTGGATAGCTACTTCTGTAAAGGAAACCTAAATTCTTACATGTGCTACCTCCCAAGGCACCCATCTTTTAATAAGGTCAGTAAGAAGTTATAGTATACAAAAGTGTTCCTTCTCTAAGGGATCTTCGTAGACATCAGATACTGTGTGTCAGCTGCCAGATTGCTGTGCTCTCACAGAAAATAAACATCAAATAACCCAGGGAAAGTAGTAGGTTTAGGAAATCCATATAAGTAACAACTTTTAATTTAGTGATTTGTACCTGGAAGTTATTTGTCTTTATTTTTCATTGCTGACAAATAAGTACTTAAACTCTTCATGGTGTGGCTTTAGGTTCTGTATGTTGCAGCTGGGGACCTCTTCTTGGCTCATATTTGTGATGGCAGACTTTTCAACAGTAAATGAAATGTGCAAAGAGAAGATCTCATCTAGCTATGCAACTAAGTTGCTTTTAGCCCCTTCTGATGCATCTTAACTTGCTTTCTGACATCTTGTTCTTTCACTCATTTATTATTTATTTCCTCCCTCTTCTTGAGCTGACAGGAACATTCTTTTCAGAAAATATTCACCTATGCTACCTTGGAGAAATAGGTGGTGTTCCAAATCACTGTATAAACATTATTTATCCTGTTCCCTCTTGATGAGGGCTAGCCCAAAACACACAAGGTTCTTCAGACATGTAGTTTGAAGACGTGGAACTTGTGTATTGTCTTCCTAATTGCAGTAGGGGTTGTTGTAGTCCTAGTTGATTCTACCCCTCATAACTATTCACTAGGCAGATATGGCCTGCCCAGTCCCAAAGAGCCTAGCGGCCGTCTTGGGTTTCTTGGACATACTCCACAGGCACAGACTTCGTTTCATACCTTCAGCTGCTCTGTGTGTCTGTGAAAGCTTAAACCGTAAGCCATGATGATCAGAACAGCAAAGACCAGTGAAATTCATTTGAGTACAAAGAATAAATATCTGCTCTGGGGCTGCCGTTCCTACCTTCTAAAAGTTAAGTTAGAAACAGGGTTTTTTTGTAAGGGAATTCCTGTGACAAAAAAAGCAGTTGGTTTAGGTCAGTTTTCTATTCTTCATAATACCCTTATCCAAGATGTTAGTGTATTCCTCAGTGTGGTTTCCCTTTCCTGATCAAGTAGTGTCCTTTTACTCTCTTACCAGTTGATTTTTTTCTGCCTTGTTTGTGTCAGGTAGTCAAAATGTCCTTTGTTCAAACTAGATTCAAAATAAGTGATCTTTGATGGTAAGACTCCTTCACCACCCACCCCATGTTTCAACATGCTGGTTTCTTTGCCAGCAGACACTACTCTCCTGATGCATGAATGAAGAAGGTTTAGAAAAATTAGTTCTTTCATCTGTTCTAGGGAATCCTTGCCAATCGTGTTCTGTCCCACAGGAATGACAGCAAGAATAGGTGGGGAAGGTAGGATGAGCAGGAGATAGATGGGAAAAATTATTAATTTAGATTTTTTGCATCTAGATTGTTGAAAAGTAAGTAGCTTGAGATTTTTAGATCCCAGTACAGTAAGTCTAGTTTTAAGATATCATGCAACAAATCAGAAATGCTGAAACTACCGTATTCAAAGCTCTGACCCATGATAAATTCAGTTTGTAGATACAAATTTCACAACAAAACTTAGATGAGTTAACTTCGGCTCAGTGAGATTTGTGACAGTTCAGATACTGCCTCTCTTCATGGAACTGCTGTAGATCCTATGTTCGGTGGTGTGGTAAATCTGACGAACAGAGTTGGATCTGTGTCAGGCCTTGGCACAAACTTTTCTTGGCTATGCTTGTAGAGCTGCCACCTTAATGTATGTTTTTAACGTTCCAAAATCCGGTGGTGTTTGAATCCAGCACTTTATTTGCTCCTTCACTGTTGTCAGTCATGTTCATGACTTCTCCCATATGAAACAGTCTCAGGAAGACCTTGTTTTACTAAGGTTGCTGTCAGCCTGCTGTTCTAACAGGCTTCCATTTGAGTGGATGACTGCTGTAAGGAACCTTTGCGCGTAGTCTGGGTGATACAGGACCAAGTCTAGGTAGGGAGCAATTGATCACACCCTCTCCAGAAAGGAGCTGATACTTCCAGCAGTCAGACAGAATGCAGGTTTTCCAACCAACAAGGCTTTAGAGATTATACGTCTGTCCTCTGACCAGCACACTGAAAGTTACTTGGGCAAAGTGCTAGAATCAGTGTTAGAATAGGCATCTGTTTCTTTAGGGCTAAGACTTGCCTGAAAGTGGACATTTTCAGGTCTTAAACAATCAGAATGCCTAAGCAGTGTTTTACACCTTATTAGTTTTGCATCACCATCTTAATTTTTGCTTTTCTGTTCAGCAAACATTAATTTGAAAAGTTGTCCTTTAATGTTGACAAATGAGGAACCTTTTCAACTGACTTTTAATCATTGTACTGCATTCCTGGCATTGAACCAGTTAAACTTTGACAATTTACACCTGTAAAACATAGGTACTAAAGAACCTCTGTTTTGTTTTGGAGATTTTTGCTAGCCAGCTTGGTTTTCACTTTCCTTATGTCAACTGCACTTGTGTTAAGGTGACAACACTCAAATATTACTGATGTTAAAATCATTAACTGGTACTTTTTCTATCTCAAGGAGTGTTCATGGTAAAACCAATAAGCATCATTCTGAAACCAACACAAATTTCATTGTGTTTGGAGTTTGTATCAGAATAGCAAACTGTAGAATGACAAAACTTGGCAGCTTTCCTGACAAACTTTAGAAAATCATAACCCTTGCTTACTGGTCGGTGATTTCATATCTCTGACAAGTTGACAGATACAAAGTAACATTGAGAATCAAATCTAAGATCTCGCTGAAAGACTTGTAATAGGTTGGACTGAAGCACAAAAGAAGGTGCAGTAAAGAAACAAATGTTTTTTACTGAGACATTTAAAGCTGCCTGATGTGCTCTCTTAGTATTTGCACCAGATTGCTTTGACTGCGGGTGTTGCAAAAAGCTGCTGGTGTGCCCTCAATAGCTTTGTGCACCTTGGTGTTCTGTATGAGGCGCTTGCTGCATGGCAACTGGCAAATGTGGGGCTTCATCTGGGTTACCACAGGAATGAACTTCTCAGGGTGCAGAGGTCTGTCTTCATAGCTACTGCTGTTTAGAGGAAGTAAGATAACTTTTTATTTACTAAATACACTAATAACTCCAATTTTTATCAAAACTTTATATTAGCAGAAAGTGAATAATGCTGTTTGTCATCTGACTCTCCATCAAAGGCCTTTTTGCTTTACAGGCTTTGTCCAGTGCACTTAGGAGCTTGGGTGGGAGAGAGAATGGGATGAATTGAGTGTTGAGTATTGTGTTTGGAAATATTTTATCAGTTAACTTTAGAGTAGATAATAGCAGTAGGTAAGAGACTAACTGGTTCCTTTTCAGCCATGGAAGTAATCAGCTGGGGTGGTCCCAGGGCGCTCTGGGCACGAGTATTGCTGAGTGATCATTGGCTGCCACCTGCGTGACAAAGTAAAGGACCAACCCTTCAATTTATACCAGTGGAGCCAGATCACGGGAAACAATTGACAGGTAAAATACATTTTTGAAAATTTAAGGGAGAGGAGAGAGGACACATGATATAAATGGACCAAAGAAACTAAAGATTTGTCACAGATAGCAAAGGTTGCTCTTCTGAAAGTTTTACGTAGCTGTAGCTTACTTCGTTTTTGGGGAGAGGCACACAACAAAGTGCAGGTTACTTTTTGCTCCCCTGGGAACAAAGCCTTGCTAAGAAACAATGTTAATTGAGTTGTATCAGGGAAACACATAATGAAATTTTATTCTAGTTAGAAATTATAGTTCATATTTACACACATGCTTCCAGATCTTTGAACGCTTGTTGTATTAATGTTGGGTACTTTCCACTGGTCCCAAAGATGGGTTTGGATTTTGGTTTTTTAGAAAGACTAAAAGTAAGTTACTGAATTTTCAAGTCACTAGTTGATAGCACTGTACTAAGTTACTCTAGAAGTCATAGAATGCCTTGCAAAAAATGATTGTAAGTTGGTCTTAATCTTGGTGATAAAACAATGCTTAGTATCAATATTTTTCTTCTGTTCTATGTTGGTTTTTTTATTTAGAGGACTGGCTGAAAATAATTTTTAAGGGCTTTTTAACTACATTATTTTTACTTATTTAGAGTTGTTAAGCTTATGCTTAGCCCAGCGTGATACAGGACTGGTGTGACAACTCGGTTTTGATCAGTGACTCAAAATTGTGATCACCCTGATGTCACCGAATGGCCACAGCTTGTAAAAGGTAAGTATAAAGCATAGCAGGTTGTTTCTCAGGACTTTCTTACTTATCATGTTTATTTTAAAGTATTTAATTTGTATGACTTAAAGTTAATTTTATAAATAGTAGTAAGTTACATTGTTTGTTTAAGATAAGTCGGCTGGCAAAGTTGACTTACACTCTTGCTAACAGTGATTTCAAAGCTCACATCGTTTGCCTTTGGAGCTGTAGTGCTCCACGAAAACCTTCTTAGGAACAATACTATCACTTAAAACTCTCTGGTAGTTTTTACTGTCATACTGAATTTCTGTATAAATTGTTTAGCATACTTATCTAAGCAGTTTGTTCATTTTTCTTTTTTTAAAGTATTTGTCCAGGAGGCTTGATGATGTTAAAAATGCGTAAGCATGCATACCATTACTTTCCTCTCCTGAAGTGGTACACTGAAGGTAAAAGGATTGGCTTGCAGAATGGGGAAGTTGCTCCCTATGTTGTTGGAAATGAGCCACCATTTTAATTTGCTAGCTCATACTGCAGTATTCAGATTAGTCAATGTCTTGTGATCAGTATCTACAATCTAATTCAAAGCTGAAATTTTTAAGAGCATTTGCTCTGAGATTTTCTCTGAACAGAACTCTTGTTTCAGATTTTAAATATAATGAAAGGACATCTTGCTGTACTATATAGTTGTTTTTCAGTACTATTGCCTGCTCAGAGAAAATAACAAGGTATCTTGTTTGTAAACAATTGGGTATTGCAGAATAAATAGCTTCTTAGCAAACAGGTACAACTTTTGTAATTAGATTGATCTTCCATTTCATTTAATGAGTACTGAAAGCTCATTTTATTTGGTGCTTACATTGCCATTTGAAACCTTTTAAAATCGAGATAATATTTGCATTAATAGTTCTGCAAATCATAATTATGGTAGGTCTGCTCATGTTTTAGAAAACAATAAGCTGAAGGAATTTGATCCCTGTTTTCTGTAGAACCACTTATCTTAGAGGACCAAACCTTTTTCGACTCAGCTACATTGAAGTTTTTCTGAACTTTGCTGAAATGTTTTCATGTTTTTTGTTTTGGGGGTTTTGTTGGGTTTTTAATTGTTTCTCTTATAGAATAAACTTTTTTTTTTCACAGTAACATGTACTGAACAGTACTGTCTCTTTACAGCCCAGATAAAATACTCACAAATTATGAGGATAGGAAAGGATTTTGGATATACTCATAGCTGTTTTTACATATCTGTACTGCAAATCACCAGGCTACCTTTTTTACTTGCAAAGTTTGGATACCAAACTGCTCTTTTTCTCTAATTCTTCATGCTGCTGTTTATTTTAAAGGCTCAAAGTGATTAGTACTCTTGATGTTTTTCTTTTAATGCCACTACTTCACTCATATTTTCGTAGCAACTGGAAACACTACTCTTTCCCAAAGCTTCAATGTGTTGTGTTTCCCAATACTGAAGTAAAGATAGCAACACCTCAAACGTCCAGACTTTTTGCTATCATTTTCTGAAGTCGTGGAAGTAAATAGGAGCTAGCCAGTATGGATATAAACGTGCTTCTCAGATTGTATGGCTTAAATGCTTTGGTGAATAATTGGAAAAGAAAAATTGAGATTGTTTTTGTTAAGTATTGAGTGGCTTGTTTTGGTCACTGGAGTTGAAGGGAAATTAATTTTTTATTTGTTTTGCTGCTGAGCATTATTTTTGTCAGCAACTATCTTGTCCTGAACTTAAGGAGTAAGGGAAACATAATTGGAGGGAATAAATAGAGGCCAAATTTTGAGATTGGGTGGTTTTTATGTTATTTTCCAGTTAGAGAACATTTATATTTTAAGCATGAGTATAAAGGTAGCTGAATAGGAAGTTCAGAATTTTGTCCTTATGTCAGGTAAATTTTAAAAGTTAATGAAATAGAAACAAATAATGTACTGTGTTCTGCATCATCTGTCACTGCATAGTATCCAGCTAGCCTAGGAATTATAAGTTGTCTGCCAGAAATGCTTTCTAGGCACTGGGTCTGTTTGGTAAAACGCAGAAAGTTGTTAAGGTACAGAATTTTAATAAAGGAACTAAAATTTTAGTAGAGAATTCGGAGAACAATCCAAGCTTTAGAGACCATCCAGTAATATAGCACAGTTAAACATGGGAAAAAAAGAATGTATCAGGCTACAGATGGAGATTTCCAATAGCATTTAGAATATTATAGATAGTCATGTAGTAAATATTAGAAATTCCATTTCTATAAACAAGGGGTTTTTTTCCTGAAAAAGCTATGGGAAAGCCTGCTTGGCTGTCCTAACTGAAGTCCTGCAGCAGACTCTGGTGAAACCTACAAAGTGAGTTCTATTTTAACTCACTTCTGTTTTGAGAGCTGTCATGAAAGGGACTTTTGTTCATGTAAGCTGCAGAGTTTTCCTGTAGTGGCTGTGCTCTGTTTCCACTCCTCAGAATATTTCCAGGGTGGCAGTTCTGGTCAAGTGTACCAAAATCCATATCCAAGTAAAGATTTGATAAGGTCCTTTAGGGTGTGATTTCAAGGCATTGTAAGGCAATGAAAATCAAAACTGCTGCATTTATACTGCCTTGTCTTCTGGCTTGTCTAGTTACAAACTCACTGACTAAGGGGAAGTCCCAAAGGGAAGAAAAAAATATTGCCTAAAAAAGTTAACTTTTTAAATCAGTGCTTCCTTAAGGAAGAAGGTGGGAGTAAGGAGGAGCTAAATAGATATAATGTAGCCTACTTAAGTTAGTATGAAGCTATACCCCTTAAATTATTCCGTAAATTAAGTCAAAGGGGTTGCCAAGCTAAACACAGGTACTGCTTGTGTATTCAAAAATGCCAGACAATAACACCTAATTCTGAATATTACTGTCTGATCTCTTGGCTGGAATGAAGAAACAAAAAACTATCTGAGATTACGTCTACAAATTCAGGTGGAGAGAGATATGAAATTTGTTATGAGATTCTGTTGGAACCTGCTTCTGAGCTGCTACTTTTTAGAGTCCAACTGTGTAGAGAATCTGTTTGTTGCAGTTGATCACTGATAAACTTTGAGTATACATTTTGGTTACAGAAGTGATTATGAAGAACTAGCCCAGAACTGGTGCCCTATGCAGCCTGAATACAGAAGTACTGCCAGCAGATCTCTGCTCTAATGGCTGCTGTTGCATAAGCAGTGGGGGAAAAGCGCTGTCCTCCTTAAAGAAATCTGGCTTAATTATACTGTCAGGTTTTATGTTACAAGCTGTATTCTAGAGTTTGGAAGAATAAATTAAATCTGTAAGTGTCAAAAAGTAGATGCTGTTAGTGGCAATAGTACACTACCATTACTTTCCACCTTTCATAACTTTTCATATTGTAATGACTTAAAAGAACAAAAGGTTAAGGTTTTCTATCTGGTTTTGCAGATCACCAGGAGAACCTCACTCTGAGAACATTGAAACTAGCCGAATGTAAGTAAATGAGTGGATGAGTTTGGTGTATCTTGTTTAAAAATCTTTTGAACTTATGTAACAGCTACTCTTGCATCTGCTTCATAAAAAGAAGACAAAAGCTGAGTAGAACTGTAGAATTACCTTAGAAAGTTTCAAGTTAATATTTTGCTATGGAAAAATAATTTCAAGCCTCTGTATAAACTGATGATTTTTTTTGGAGGGTGAATGAGTTGAAGGGAAAGTTTAGAGGTTTAACTTAACGTGAACCAGTAGATGGTAGCATAATACAGTGTCAGAAATCTGAGGGCCTGCATTCAGACTTGACAGTAAGGGTGTAATTTCTACCTGCTGTTCACTAACATCTTGCATGGGTTTGAAGACACTTCAGTACTAAGGCACAACACCTGCTGATATCTGTTGTGGCATGAATTGTTGAACTAAGAAAAAAAAAAGTCTGACTTAATTTGGTGAATTCATATACTAGTTAATTCCAGAAACAACAAATTGGCTCTCTTTCACTAAACAGTGAATCTTGCATAGCATCTTGCTGACAGTTCTGAGTCTTGTTTTTCTCTGCCTTTAGCATAGAAGCCAAGATCAACTAGAAGCAGATTGTGATGGGCTGAAATGTTCATTTGTATTTAAAATTCAAAAGGGTTGCAGGAATGAGGGGACCATTTTTTTTAAAAAAAAAGGTTATTTGACACTTTATTCTTCTGTGAGTTAGCGAACAAAGATTCTTTCCTAGCTATTCAAACAGTCCTGTCATAGAACTCAAATAGGGAAACCACAAACTCTGCTTTTCTGGCTTACAGCAAAGTTCCAAAATAATAGAGGGAGTGTAAGCGCAATGGTTAGTGTACTGTCTAAAGCTTCAAAGGATCTGGGTTCATTTTTCTTCTGCCACAAACTTCCTCTCTGACCTTAAATTGTCTCCTCCACGCCTGCCCCCCAAGTGGTCTAGTATTTTACGCACCGTGGGCTGGATGCCAGTTTCTGGATGTTTTGTAGGCTAGGGACATAGTGTGAATGGCTCAAGGACTTCTCTACTGTAGCTGCCCAACTTGGGGAGGAGCAAAACTGAGGTTGAGCCCACACACACATTGGACTGCATACCTAATTTTAAAAGTGATGAGAAGGAAGCAAGAACGCTTTTCTGATGTGTGTTTAGCAATTCACTGCAGTGATGCCTTTTCTTGCACTAGGAGTAGCATTTCTCCTGGGATGACAAATTTCTTTTCCCTCTCTCATGCCATCTGTTGCAAAAGTGCTGTCTGGCTGCTTCCTTAGGAGTACAGGTTAATAGGGATCCAGACCTGAGAGATGACTGGCTGTCACTACGTGGACACGTGTTAGAGGTTGCAGGGCTAAAGCCCTGCCGTAGTCTCTTATTTCTGCTCCAGTAGTGGCCTGTGCTGCATTGTCTTTTATTGTTCCTGCAGCAAGTTGAGTTGTGTTCTTTTGTTTCCCTGGCCTAGCCAAACGGGGGAAATCAGGCTGCAGACTGGCTGTAGTCCACTCTGGATATTGTCAGTTGGACTACTGTTTTTTACACATTGGAAGGAAAGATGTATCAGGAGCAGTCATCTGGAGTGGTGTGAAACAAAGACTCTGTAAGGACTTATGATAAATCAGAAGGAAAAGGCAGTAAAAGTCTTTTTTTCCTTCTAGAATTTTGACAATTCTTTTGTGTATGTTGTTTATCCTCCTTAAAACTGAACCTGAAAAAATAATCTACAGTAGTAAGCTTTTCTACGTGATAGCTGAGTACTTTATTTTGTGCAGAACAATAATCAGAGTTGTCCTGACTTTATAGATTTCAGGTATTTGTCTGTAATGGATGTAAGCCAGTGAAGCCGCAGGAATTCACATATTTGAGTAGTACCTATACAGTATACTTGTGAAACTAAATCGTTTAAAAGTGTATCACAATTTGATGTGTACAGCACCTATTACTGAGAATTTTTGCAATCCTGCTGCATAGTTGTTCTTGCTACATAAGGTGGAATGGCAGGCTGAATGTGTAGCTAAAATATGTTATTTACATGCCTGTAAGTCATTAGTAAATGCAGGGACTTAGGCAAGTGTTTTGTTATTTCCACAATGAATGGTTAAGTTGTTTTTGCTCTGGTTGGCTGATATAATTGCTTTATTTATTTCTGTGGTTTGCATTGCAAAGCTTTATACCAAGAGCATAATCACATATGTTTCACATGTGTGAATGAATATTAATTGAAAAAGAAATACTCTTGGATTCTTACGCAGCAAAATCTTCCATGGGTAAGTCTTGCTTATCCCAAGCTTTTCAAATTCTGGCTCTACATGTGGTGAACATTGTGGTGCTAGCTCAGAGTTAGGAGTCTTTTTACCTTAACATTCATTCAAGTCTTTGAATTTTTAAGGTCAGTATCTTCTATCTGCTTCTGTCACACTTCTCCATTGATTTTCAGCTTTGATTAGTATAATTTTCTTAAAACCTCTTTAGCACTAAATTACATAATTTAATTGTTTACCAGTAACTTCTTGTTCATGTGTTTTCACTCTCCATTGTATGTAGTCACATATCAAGACAAAGTTTTGGGTGTGTTGATATGGCTTTTTGTGCATTCATCTCTCCTCTCTCTGCTTTTGAGGATGGGATGCCTTGCAATTTTGAAACTCCTCTCTGCTTTTCTAATAGGGCTGTAGCAAGGTAATTTTTCTGAGAGACAAGTTTGCGAGATAGATGCTGACTGTTTTCTTCATTCCCTCTCTCTGTCAGTCTTCCTGCATTACTCCATATAGCCAGGAGAGATCTGTTCTCAGGTTCACCCTTCCTGAGGAAGTGCCATGCCTGACTTTGTCAGCACATAATGTGTTCCTGGAGGCACAGTGGATCTAGAATATATGGTGGGGAGGGAGGTCCCTTGGGTGAAGCCAGTATGGTCCAAGGGGGTTCACGGTCTGCACCCCAGCTATTGGGGTCCACTACACTGGAAAGAACGAGGTTTGGCAAATGTGAGTTCCACGCGCGTGCACATTTGCTGTGGTGTCAGTGGCTGAGGTGGGGAAAAGGTGTTACAAAACTGCTGGAACAGCAGGCTTGGTTCCAACTCTGGGTGCAGTGTTTGGCAGTTTGGTGTGCAGGGCACTTCAAAAGGGTCTCTTTGGGCAGTGCTATTACTGGAAGCTTGTCTTCTCTAGCACTGCTGCTCTTACTCTAACTAAACAGAAGCAGGAAACCAACATGCAAGGTTTGAAACTGAAATTCTCAGAAAGCAGTATTTAACTTCACAGATATCCATCCACAATCCACACTTTTTTTAACAGTTTTTGATCCACTGGTCATCTAGTTTCCAAAGGGTAGTAGAACTGTTGCAGATGCATGTCTCTTTCTGCCTCTGTCTGTTAATGCATATACTGAAAGTTATTTTGCTATAAGTACTAAAAAAAGCGTTCCCTGTTTTATTTTTCCTATCCAAATGGCAAACATAGATTTTCTTCTAGTTTTCATGGATATTAATAGTTTTGTCGTTTGTTGTGGTTTTTTTTCCTGTTAAGAAATAGCTTATGAACATTTTGACACTTCCAAATTCCTAATTGCCATTGTAAAACAGGCTGTTGTAAATTTCCACTTACTAAAATCAGCTGTTTTGGAGCAATTATAGAATCATCAAGGCTGGAAAAGAACTTCAAGATCATCAAATCCAACCCTTGACAAATCACTGCCTTATCAACTAGACCATAGCACCAAGTGCCATGTCCAGTTGTTTCTTGAACACTTCCAGGGATGGTGACTCCACCACCTCTGTGAGCAGCCTGTTCCAAAGCTTGACAACTCTTTCAGCAAAGAAATTTTTCCTGATATCCAACCTGAACCTCCCCTAGTGCAGCTTGTCCTCTTGTCCTGGGAGAAGAGGCCAACCCCCACCTGGCTACAGCCTGCTTTCAGGTGGTCGTAGAGAGTGATAAGGTCACGCCTGAGCCTCCTTTTCAGAGCTCCTCTGGGCTAAACAACCCCAGATCTCTCAGCCACTCCTTGCATGACTTACTCTCTAGACCGTTTACCAGTTCTGTTACCCTTCTCTGGACATTCTCCAGCACCTCAATGTCTTTCTTGTAGTGAGGGGCCCAGAACTGGACAGAGCGCTTGAGGTGCAGCCTCGCTAGTGCAGAGTACAGGGGGGTGATCACTGCCTGGTCCTGCTGGCCACACTATTGATACATACTGTGGTACAGGCCAGGATGCCATTGGCCTTCTTGGCCACCTAGGCACACTGCTGTTTCATGTTCAGCTGCCGTTGACCAGCACCCCCAGGTTCCTTTTCCACTGGGCCACTTTCCAGCCACCCTGCCCACAGCCTGAAGCACTGCGTGAGGTCATTGTGACTGAAGTGCAGGACCTGACACTTCACCTTATTGAACCTCATACCATAGGCCTTGGCCTAGGCCTAGTTGATCCAGCCTGTCCAGATCTCTCCACAGAGCCTTCCTGCCCTCCAGTAGATCAACACTCCCACCCAGTGTGAGACTTCTGTGTAAAACTAATATAAAAGTTGTTGTGTCCCAAGCAGAAACCATTCAGAAGTATGTAATTTCGTGCTGGTATTTCCAGACAAGTATGAAACATTCATGCGTATTTCTGAAATTTAGGTAAACTTGAAAGCAAAATGTGATGCAATTATGCAGATATTTTAAACTTCCTTTACATAGTATTGCTCTGTATTTAGTTTAAAATATTTGAGAAATGCAAATTAGATTCTGTTTCATAGGAACTTTTGAGCAAGTACACTCAATATCTTATTTCCTATAGATTTTAGACATTCAAAAATTACTACCCAAATTCAGCCCAGTTCACCTTTGCCAAAGAATCTACAAACACAGAGGATCAGTGGTGTATGTTTCTAGTAATACTCCACAGTTTTGGCAGCATTTAAATTACAAATGTGAAGTACTTTTTATCTGGCTTTTTACTAGTTAAAAAAAAACAAATGAAAAGCCTAAAGGCATTCTTTTTTCTTTAAGTACTGCAAAAGTAAGTCAGTGAATACTAATTTCATGCTAAATGGAGTAATGTGCTTACAAAATTATTGGACATTGGGGAAGGAAGTTGATGTCTATTTTAGGTGCCTCTTCTCCTCACTGAAGCAGTGTGTATTGCTTGAAGAGGTTATACCAGGCCCACTGTGTGGGGAGTTACCCTTAAGGCATAAGGAGATGCCTGTGATATATCTGTGAAATGTTCACAACTGCATCTGCACCAGTGCAGTTTCATACTTGGATGTGCAAGAACAATATGAGTATTCCAAAACGTATATGCAGGTTAGTCACTGCAGCTTTAGCTACAGTAGTAACTGTGTGCTAATGTACAGTGAACTAGTCCTTGAGTTTATAAGGGAAGAGTTAGATCCCCTTATGGGAACTTAAAGGGAGCTGTGGTCTTCACGGGTGTAGCATGAGCTAAGAATAGAGAGTGGTTTTATGTTACCTCACTTGATCAACCAGTTTTAATCCCTCAGGTCAAGAATTTAAGTTTTCCGCATGCTAAATGAGCAAGGGAATATAGAAAGTGATCAGTTTTTCACTTCTGGAGAATACAGAAGGTATGATATGGGGGTTTTTGCTGAATAATGTGGGAATAGGAAATGTGGGCTGTTGTCAATGAGCAGCGATAATAATTCCTGAAGTACCCCAGTGGGAATGTGATGTGGAATATCTTACTGTTCTGTAAAATCACACATTGACTTATTGGAACTGCATTTTCTGTGTAAGTACTTCCAACAATGGACCTCAGTAAGGGTAGCTCTTATGGAAGGCTTGGTAAATTTATTCTACCTTCTTAGGTTTGTATCCTCCCTTTGTCTCCACCATTTTTTGTATTCTTAAATAATTTGTCTGAGCTCATGTCCAAAGTCTGTGCGATAGTTACCCAGGGAGAGGTGGGGGTGTCCAGCTGGATCGCTATAGGTTTATAGGGCTTATGGGATCTATCTGGGAACACTTGAAGAGGTGGCTGATGTGATCACAAGGCCTTTCTCAATGATTTTTGAGTGATCTTGGGAATCTGGAGAGGTCCCAGTAAATTTAAATTGGAAGCTGGCAAACTTCCAAATGCTGGCAAAATACTGGCCCAGTATTCAGGAAGGGTAGGAAGGATGACCCTGGAAACCACAGGCTTGTCAGTCTCACTTCTATGCCTCATAAAATTATTGAGAAGATGATTCAGGGAGTTACTGAAAACACCTGAAAGACAAAGCAGTCATCAGTCACAGCCAGCACAGCTTCATAAGGGGAAAGTCATGCTCGTCAGACTTAATTTTCTTTTTTGATGACAAGGCAACCCACCTAGCTGATCAAGGGAAGCCAACTGATGTAATCTTTTTGGATTTCAGTAAAGCTTTCGATACTGTCTCTCACAGGATCCTTCTGGACAAACTGTCCATCACACAACAGGATAAACACATCATGTGGTGGATGAGCAATTGGCTCACAGGTCAAGCACAGAGGGTAATAGTGAATGGGGTGACATCAGACTGGTGATCTGTCACTAGTGGGATTCCCCAGGGCTCCATCTTGGGCCCTCTGCTCTTCAACATCTTCATAAATGGCTCGGACACAGGACTCAAAGGGATACTAAGTTTACCAGTGATACTAAACTGGGAGGAGCTGTTGGCTCCCTCAGAGGCAGGGAGGCCCTGCAGAGAGACCTCAACAAGTTAGAGGGCTGGGCAATCACCAACCACATGAAGTTTAACAAGGGCAAGTGCCAGATTCTGCACCTGGGATGGGGCAACCCTGGATGTACCTACAGACTGGGCAATAAGATGCTGGAAAGCAGTGCCATGGAAAGGGACCTGGGGGTCCTGGTTGACGGCAAGTTGAATATGAGTCAGCAGTGCCCTGGCAGCGGGGAGGACCAACCGTGTCCTTGGGGGGGCATCAGGAAAAGCATCGACATCCGGTTGAGGGAGGGGATTGTCCTGCTTTGCTCCGCACTGGGGCGGTCTCACCTTGAATACTGAGTGCAGTTTGAGTGCAGTTTTGGGCACTGCAATATAAGAAAGGTACAAAGCTATTAGAGGGCATCCAAAGGAGGACTATGAAGATGGTGAAGGTCCTTGACGGGAAGCCGTATGAGGAGTGGCTGAGGTCACTTGGTCTGTTCAGCCTGGAGAAGAGGAGACTGAGGGGAGACCTCATTGCAGTCTACAGCTTCCTCGTGAGGGGAAGCAGAAAGGCAGACACTGATCTCTTCTCTGTGGGGGCCAGTGACAGAACTCAAGGGAACAAAATGAAGCCATGTCAGGGGATGTTTACCAAGACGATGGTTGGGCACTGGAAAAAGCTCCAGGGAAGTGGTCACACCACCAAGCCTGACAGAGTTCAAGAAGCATTTGGACAACACTCTCAGGCACATGATGTAATTCTTGGGGTTGTCCTGTGCAATGCTAGGAATTGGACTTTGATAATCCCTGTGGGTCCCTTCCAGTTTAGGACATTCTATGAAATTCTAATACTGCTGTATTCTGGTACTGTTGTACACCGTATTGTTTGCTTCCATATTTGATTTAAAAAATAAATAAATAAAAAATCTAACCTTCAGTCAGAGCTTCTGTCTCTAATGAAGTTTCACAGAACTTGAGCCAGTGAGTCTGCAACCATGAGTCAAAATGAAAGTGTTTGTACAAACAGCATTATTGTAGGCATGGCAAAGTTTGAAAAGTAATTGGTAGCTAAATGTTAGAAACGAAAACATATTGAGTCCCTCAGAAGTTGACTGTTAGAGCCAAATCTAAGCTTATCTTTATCTCCTGGCATCTCAGATATGACCTGATTAAAGGGAAGTGTTGTTTAATATGTTAAAATGTGGTGTTCATATACCAGTGTTTATACATTTAGATAACTTTATTCAAACTAGATATATGGGCTAAAAAGGTGTGCATATTGGTGAGATGTGGCCATAGCTCAGGTGTAAAAATTCAACTTTTTCATGTGATAGACTTACCTGCTAACAAACAACAATATTTCATACTCTAAATCTGAAGGTCTGGAATGATCAAAGGTCAGGAATGATCAAAGCATGAAATCTTGGTATTCACAAACAGATGTCTGTGAAATTATGTACTGGTCTAAGTTGTATTAAAGCACTGGTGTTTTTAAGCCTCTATGCTAATGGCTGAAGTACGAAAGACAAGATTAAAAACCACTTACTTTTAGAGGTACATGGAGAGAGGCAGATTTTCCTAAGTATACATATAAAAATTTGAGAGAATAGAACTCTTTCATTGGATTAGAATATAGCTATTCCCTGTTTATACAGTAGTGGCTTTGATGATATTGCTCATGCTGCCTAATTTTTTTTTATGGTCCTTTACCTCCATCTCGAGGTGGCAGGGAAACATTTCTCCTCAATTGTTTTTTTTGTCTTGTAGTGCACTGGAACATTTGGAAGGTCAGGTAGACATCGAGGTCATGGTTTTCTTTCTAAGACATATTTTCTTCTCTAGGATAATGAGATCTTGAAGAGTGAACAGAAAGGAGCAAAGGTGTTATTGCTGAGTAATACACACCTCAGTAGTCACAGTCAGAACATTTTCCTGTCTAAAGCAGCTGGATTGAAACTGATACTTAGCCAGCCAGTATTAACAGCTAGGTGCAGCAAGTGCTGAGTAGTACCAGTGGGTCTAGCACTTAAGTTCTGAAGTACTTGTTCTGTGCAGAATCTGTGCATGCATCAACATCAGGAAAGGCAACTTTAAGTTAATATCACAATTTCTGGTGAAAATCTTGCTTCCGATGTTCTAATCTTTATAGTACTGTATCACTAAAGTTACATAAAAGGCCTGCATGTTGCACCTATTCAAAATGTTTGAATTGTTTCCTGGTTGATAATTTTCATTAATAACTTGTTTTCATTAAATGAAGTCAAGGTTTGGGGATTTCTTTCCAAAATGCAGTCAATTATGGTGCTCTTAGTACTGCATGCAGCTGCTTCTGTCCTGATTACCTGCAGCTTTCCAGTAATTTCTTTACTATTTGCAAATTTCTGTAGAAGTCTGTGACCTTATTAATAAGGCAGTTAAATTTTCTTCTGTGTGTATATATAGTACTGAGCACATGGACTTGTATAGCAATACAGCTGTGATTTTTCAGATGTTTGCTTGCCACCTATAATGGCAGGAGAAAGGGAAGGATTTGGCAAATAGCTTTTTTTTTTAAAGAATTTATTTAAACTGAGGAGAAATATATTTAGCCTTTAGCTCATCTGTAATTGTGGTTTTGGCATCAGTGTAATTAATCAAGGAATATTTTTCATATGAATTTAAATAGACTAAATATATGATAATTTAGTCATCTAGAATCTTGCTAAAATGGCTTGGATTTTTAAAGGCTTTATATCTTATTAGTGTACTATTGATAGTATGCTAAATAAATGTCTGAATTGTTTGTATTTCATGCCTCTTCCCTCTGTCAGTGGCAACCGTACATCAGTACTATATATTAGATTCAAAAACTGTATGAGATCCAGTTCTGTTTCACTTGCAGCCTTGTTTTGCATCCAAATTGCTCTTTTTCAGTGACAGTTGAGATTGTTCAGAACTGTAGAAGATTGTCTCCACTATAGCACAACAATGTAAAGCTGAAAGCTGTGCATAAATAGGATTTATCTTGCTCTTACATAGAACCCATAAATTAAATTGTGTGTTAAATATATTTACATTTGTCAAAATGAGAATCCTGCATTTCAAAAAAATCTCCTGATGTGTCCTCTCTGACAGAAATCTTGTGTTTCAGTGCCTGACTAATCTCTGCCTTGCTGATGCTATTGAATGAGCTTTGTATGTGAAAGCTCTACTAATCCTTGTACTTGCTGTTTGAATGTTTGCTACAGGAAGCGAGCAGCTGCAAAGCATCTAATAGAGCGCTACTACCACCAGTTAACCGAGGGCTGTGGAAATGAAGCCTGCACGAATGAATTTTGTGCTTCCTGTCCAACTTTTCTCCGTATGGATAACAATGCAGCAGCCATTAAGGCCCTCGAGCTTTATAAGATTAATGCAAAACTCTGTGATCCTCATCCCTCCAAGAAAGGAACGAGCTCAGCTTACCTAGAAAACAATTCCAAAGGTGCCCATAACAATTCCTGCACTGACAGAAAAATGAACAAGAGGGAAATGCAAGGCCCAAGAGATGACTTTAAAGGTAAGATGTTTAGAATTTTCCTAAAATAAAACACATTTCATATGCAAGAGTACAAGCCAACAGAATTCACTGTGGTGGGGTTCTGCTGACTTCTTAAGTAAAATACAATGTTGGCCGATCAAGTATTTTACTATGGATTCTGAAAAATGGCTGGATTAATGCTGAATACTGATTCTGAATGTGGATCTTTACCACCTGTCTGTTAAAATCAAACATGCATTTGTTGTCTTGTGACAATAGTGATTTTGCAAGTATGGAAAGGCTTTTTTAGGTGCTGTTGTATGACTGTTTTAGTTTCACTAGTTTCATAACTCTTCTGCAATTAATGGGTTATAAAAGTTATGCTTTAACTAATTCCAGATTCTATGTTAAGAAACTTAACAGATGAAAAAAATGATACAGTGGATGATAGGCAATACATTTACTAAGCTAAAAAATGTTTAAGCAAAGTTATTTCTAAGCCAGTGTACAAAAATGAAATGATGTTCTGTATATCTTTTCTAACTTTTATGTAGCTTTTCAAACTCTCAAATAGTAAGTACATACTAATAGAATAATGCTAGTTGTTGCCAAAAACTTGTGATGCGAACAGAAATCAGGCCAAATGTAATTAAAGCCATTAACCTTTGAGCAGATCTTTTTAAGGATTATGACAATAAGTGGTTTAAACACAGAAGTTCAGATTCATTCATTTTAGCTAAAGAAGGTGAAATTGTTTACAGCAAAGAATTAAAGAGGCATATAGAGTCAGCAATAAAGCATAGTACGGTGTTATAGGGGACCTAAGATGTTCCAGTCAATAGCTGCATCAGTTTGTTCTTTATCTGATGCAAGGATAAAATTGTCCCCAAATTATTTATGATCCAAATAAGCAGAGAGGCAAACAGTAGGGAGGGGAAAGGGGGGGCAGTGTAGTATTAGGTGGGTGAAAGGCACATAAGGTCTGTTTTGTGATTTGTCTCTAGATTGTGTGTATTTTTAATGGAGCTGTGCATATACAGAATTTTCCTCATTCTCTCTAACCATCCCCTCTCCTAAGGGTAGATGCCTCAGAGTCTTCTCAACCTACCTTCAGAGACAGTCTATTGGCTACAGCAGTGACTCAGACTTCCTCTATCGGAACATCACAAGTATTGACCTCTCTTTGTGGCAGTATAGACAGAAAACAGTAATGCTCTCTGAGACCTAGTTACTTTTGGAATTGGATGATGTCTAAGGAATCTAATGCTCTGAAATTTTTTAAGGTCCATCTGCTGCAACACTTATTGGGAAAACTGCAGTTGTGTTTAAGAAAGCCAAGGAAAAGGATGTGTAGCTTGCCTTTATGCTTGACATAGGATTTAAAGTTCTAAATAAATTGAAAGAAATACCCTTCGGAAGTAATTATTTACTTTGCTTTTCTGGAGTGCTAAGCCCTAGAACTTTTACCTTTGGGGAAGAAGCTACGTGGAAGCCATTGTAAGCATCTCAGTAATATCTTAGATGGCAGTTTAAAAGGAAGGAAATAGAGAAATCACAAATATATAAAAAGCATAGGTTACAATTGTTGTCAGAGAGAGAGGAGGCACCATTTAAAGATCTCTGTAATTACCTGGGAAGCTATTTTCAATTTCGATCACCAAAATATTAAATTGGAAAGAGAGAAGGTTAGGCAGCGAGCACACAATTTTAAAAAGGTTCCATAAGAGATAAAATAAAATTAATAAATTTCCTAATTAGGGAGTGCGTTGTTGGCAATATTTAGATCACAGGTAGTCTTTTTCACATCAAGGATCACTGCTAGAGCTTGACTTCATGTACAGATTTGTTATGGAGTGTTACTGAGAACGAGGTCTGGGAGGAGTTGCATTTACTTCACTGGATTGCTTCTTTGAAATAGAAGAGATGAGAGGAGAAGGCATGTAAAAGCTCAGAGATTCAGACATAAGTAAGCCAAAATTGGCTTGTGTTAGAAGGAAGCTTCACTTACATTTGTTTTCCTCCAGCTGTTCTCAGTGCTGTAAAGTAAAAATGAGGCAGACTTATGGCAGCTCCTTTACATACTAGTCACAGGATATGACTTTTAAAGCTGCTATGAAACTGCTGATGGTAATATTAAATACTTTAACTGGAACTTGCACATGGTTAGTTCCTGAAATACTAAAACCTTTAGAAGAATGACTGAGAATCCTTGCTGTAAGTATGAAAATCTGAAATGTGTTATATTGTTAAGTTACCAACTTGTGCTGCTAATTTTTATGTTATGAATGACCTCGGTGGTCCGGAGTCAGTGAACTTGAGACTGTGGTCCTCATTTTGAGGAGCCATGTCATGGAACAACATCTGTATCAGCAGTTAAATTTTTTTTTAGATGAGTTTTGCTTCTTGAGCGTGCACTGCAGCAGATAAAAATAGGAGGTGTCGCACTAAGCTTTTCATAATGTTGTCACTACTGCTGTTTTTTTAACAGGACAGATTTTAGTTTTGAGCTTTTTCACTGTCTTCAGATTGGTTGGAAATGAATCTAAGCAGCATGACATAATCTTAACCTTTCCTGTGTTATGTGTGCTTTAAGAGTGGCGTGGGGCTCTGTGGAAGTCAATAGATTGTCTGTCTTTGCATCATCTAGTTTGAATTTTTAATTTAATGACTGCTTGGAACGAATATTAGTGTAGATAATCACATTTCAAAATACTTTAACATATAGTGTCTTTATTAAAAATGTCTATTACAATGATGAACTTCCTTCTTTCTGCAGAGGCAGTTAGTTATTCTAGCATGGTTGATGAATACAGTTCTGAGATATGTGTTTTCTAGATCTCTAGAGATGCTATTAGACAGATTCAGTTTTAGGTCTAAATTGTGTCAGTTCAGAAGAATCTGCATAAACTAGAATATCTTTTCAGGGTCTGAGTGTGGTAATCCTACTCTAAAGCGTCACCTCATGTGAAAGCATCTATGGGTTCTGTTTTAAGAATAACATAGAAAGCTAGAAATAATGTTTTCTCTTTTTGTTTTCTAAAGAGAAAGAGATTTCAAATAACAGATGGGCCTCCCAGATGACTTATTTTGTATCAGGAGTTTGGGAAGAGGGAGAACAGATAGGTATTTGGAGCAGATGATGTTTGTAAACCAGCTTGTTCATCTGAATAGCGTGTTGATGAGTATACCCAAGTTGTTTATCTCAGTGAGGTCTAATGTACAAAGAAATAACCTACATGCCTCACTGTATGTGCAATTTAGAAGGCAGCATACATTGCTGAGTATACATTGTGGGTTTTGGGAGGATTTTCAGGCACAATTTTAGTATAAAACAGTTGCAGAAAGCACTAAAAATAGAAATAAGAAATCTTATATTCCCATTAACATACAACAAAACAAATTATTGAATCTTTTCTTCAAGATCTGTTTTTAAGGGAGAAAGAATGTGTGAAGTCCATAGACTTGCTACACTTGAAAGAAAGAGGTTGATAAAATCTGGTTTGTTTAGTTGAATGATTTATACATTACCTGTGCAGATCTACCAGAAGACTGTATTGTTGCAGTTTAAACCTCTTACTGATTGCTCTTGTTTAGACAATATAGTACTGTTAACTACCAAATATAGTTAACTGGCTGAAAAACAGTTTCAGCATTGTGCGCATTCTGATTGACATCCATGAATAAAGTATTTTACATTTACAAAATCAGTGAATGAAATTGTGATTCTTCATGCTAATAAAATTATAAAGTATCTGTTTTGAAACTATCCAGCACTGATACTGTTTTTCCAGTGTTTGTGATATGACACACAGATTTCTTCAGAAGAGCAAATAAGAAATATTTTATCTTTTTAATATTTATCTAAATAAAATTAATAACTTTATCTTTTTATAGATGTGACTTTTCTAACGGAAGACAAGATATATGAAATTCTTGAACTATGTCGAGAAAAAGAGGATTATTCCCCTTTAATCCGGGTGATTGGGAGAGTGTTTTCTAGTGCTGAAGCACTGGTACAGAGTTTCCGAAAAGCCAAACAGCACACCAAGGAGGAGCTCAAGTCCCTTCAGGGAAAGGATGAAGACAAAGATGAAGATGAAAAGGAAAAAGCTGCCTGTTCGGCTGCAGCTATGGAAGAAGATTCTGGCGCATCATCGTCTTCATCGTCAAGAATAGGTGATAACACACAGGGAGATAATAACCTCCAAAAACTAGGCCCAGATGAAGTGTCTGTAGATATTGAAGCAGTCAGACGGGTCTATGATAGGTTACTTTCTAATGAAAAAATAGAAACTGCCTTTTTAAATGCACTTGTGTACTTGTCACCTAATGTGGAATGTGACTTGACTTACCATAATGTGTACTCTCGGGATCCTAACTATCTGAATTTGTTTATTATCGTTATGGAGAATGGCAATCTTCATAGCCCAGAATATCTGGAAATGGCTCTACCGTTGTTTTGCAAAGCAATGAGCAAACTACCCCTTGCAGCTCAAGCAAAACTGGTCAGATTGTGGTCGAAGTACAGAGCAGACCAAATTCGGAGAATGATGGAAACATTTCAGCAGCTTATTACCTACAAAGTCATAAGCAACGAGTTCAATAGTCGTAACCTAGTGAATGATGATGATGCCGTTGTTGCTGCTTCAAAGTGCTTGAAAATGGTTTACTATGCAAATGTAGTAGGAGGGGATGTGGATACAGATCATAATGAAGAGGAAGATGAGGAGCCCATCCCTGAATCAAGTGAACTAACTCTTCAAGAGCTGTTGGGTGAGGAAAGAAGAAATAAAAAAGGTCCTCGAGTGGACCCACTGGAAACTGAACTTGGTGTTAAAACTATAGATTGCAGAAAACCACTTATCCCTTTTGAAGAATTTATTAATGAACCACTGAATGATGTTCTAGAAATGGACAAGGACTACACTTTCTTCAAAGTAGAAACAGAAAATAAATTCTCATTTATGACCTGTCCCTTCATATTGAATGCTGTTACCAAGAACCTGGGATTGTATTATGACAATAGAATCCGGATGTACAGTGAAAGACGCATAACTGTTCTCTACAGCTTAGTTCAAGGACAGCAGCTCAACCCATATTTGCGACTTAAAGTGAGACGTGATCACATCATAGACGATGCGCTTGTCCGGGTAAGTCCTACAGCAATATGGAACTTAGGTTTGTTGGTTCTGACTAGTGCAACCTACATGGGCCTTAACTAACTGAAAAGGACTTTGTGTGAGTGGATATATATTGATTTCCTCTAGGAGAATCTCAAATACCTTTACCAGATTGTTTGAATTCTAAGTGTGATGCTGAAGATTTGTATGTTCAGCAGAACTACTACTCAGAGTGGTTGCAGACTTAGATGTTTTAAAGTGTCATATAGTTCTTATTCTCCCTTGTCAGACTCTGCATTGTTACAGCTCTTAACAGTGAGAGTGACCAGCTTCTGTTTCAATACTTCTTTGTCCTCTGGACTGTCCTGGATCATCTTTTGATAGTAGGGTTTTTCAGATGGAAGTTGGAATTAAAACCTTTCAGTTGTGTACTCTTCTTGTGGACTTCTGAACTTCTAGAAGTAAAGCGTTATTGCAGTTTGGTGCAAATACTGACATGACTGAGAAAGGAGAAGACAGACAATTGAGAAATATACTGTTGTAAGATTAAAACCTACTCTCTACCAGGTTTTTAATTTAAGAATACTCTTTGTAATTTCACTTCCTATCAGACGTAGAGTTGTATCCAGTTATGTTTTGTCCACTGATGTAATGGGAGTTTTTCCTTTACTGTTCAGCTGAGGGATATGTAAATACTGGAAAAAAGGGAGGGACAGTACTACCTCTTAAGGAGAGGATGGGCTAGAAGAGCATAAGAGCTGGTTTTAGGGAGATGTTCTTTTTAATGTCAGTTACAGCAGATGGAAAGCAGAGCTTCCTCCTTATGATGATAATTGGAAGGAAAATACATAAATATCAGGAAAGGCATTCTTCCATATACAGTTTGTTGGGAAAGAAGTTGAAATCTTTGGGGACAAAAAAAATGTTTAATGTTGCTTAGAAAGCTCGTGGGCAACATCAACATCGTAGTTGCTGCAGCAACTATGTTGCAACCAGGCCGCAGCAGTCACTGCAGTGCACACTTTTGGTCGTTAGGAAATTTAGGAAATTTAAATCAGATTCAGCTCAAACATACTGATTTGAATTGTGATGCACTTGCAGCAGCCCTTGCACAGCCTAGCAGTTTGGAGTTACATGCCTGGGCAGTTGCCACGGATCCTTGTATGACTGTTAATTTAAGCTGCCAGAACATGCTAAATTATGGTGACCTGACTCTGTCAAAGCCCTGAGGAAAGTAAGAATTTTAAACTGTTTATTCTGGGACAGAAAATTAAAGGAAAACATAAAATTGTTCTAAATTCAAGAAGTCTGAACTGTAGTGGTAATCATCAAGACCAAGTGCAGCCCAGCCATTTCTCAGAAGTGGAAATTAGATTATGTTCAGTAAAATGGAGATGAGCGCAAACTCACCATCCTGGCTGGAGGAAGGGTCCCTGTCGTTTCAAACAGATTCTACAAGGTAGCTGTTGTGGGATGTTGTGAACCTGGGGAAAATTGTATCCATAAATGTATGTAGTGGGTACAGAATCCACCTTTTAATTATTGATGCGTCTTAACTGATGATACGGAGTATCAGTGCTCAAAGAATAGATTTTAAATATTCCTCAGGAAGTGTTCAGAGTTAAAAAAGAAGTGAATGGAACAATACAGTGTCGCTGTTGACCATAGTGTGCCTACGTCTCTTTCATTTGTTTCTTTTAATTTTAATATCAAAAAGAATGCAATAGCAATACATTTCAAGAGCCCAGAGTCTCTTCAAAGAAATTGTAAAGTCCTCTTAAGGGTAAAAAAGATGATGGCGAGGACCTAAAAGATGGAATGGAGAAGTTGAATGGGAAATCTGATTTTCTCAACCTGGTAGCACCTAGCCTTATTATCAGGAAGCAGGCTTAGCATAAGCAAAGGGGCATATTTTTTTCCACACTATACCTTAAAATGGTGAGTGTCTTTGCCCGGAACTTGTAACTGTTCATGAAAGAAAGATCCATCAAAAGCTAATGGACATTAAAGGCATTCTGATGCAACCCACACACAAACCTCAGGGAGTCCCTAAGCTGCAGGTGGCTGGAAAAGTATTGCAGGGAAAGTGCTGTTCTACACTGTCCTGTAGTTCCTTCAGCGAGTGCCTGATCTGTTCAAGAATTACATGCTGTTGTTACGGGCACTTTCTGCAACTGGTTGAGAAGTGATTTTAGTAATTTTCACAATTTGTTTCCACTTCCTAATTGGTATGAAATAGGTGTGGAGGAAGCTCTTAGTCTTATGTCTTAAGCTTTAAAGCAGCTGGCTATTTTTCTGATGATAGTCAAAGATGAGCACTGAGTGCACCAGACCTGTGTCTTTATAGAACAGTCAGTGCAGACTTTTTTGAGATATACTCAACTCAGTTATATCAAATAACTGATAACTTCCTGATAAAAGCATTTTCAGGAATATTGACTAAAATGAGGTTAAGATGGTCTTATTCGTATTTTCCTTATTGATGTTGGATATTTTTCAAACAAATATAGCTATCAACCTTGGTAATTTCTTGCAAATGGACTAAGCACTGACCTTTTCACGCTAATTAGTTGAGCTAATTAAGTTATTTCCAAGCTGTTTTTCACCTATTGATACTTAATATTTAAGCTTTTATAATTCAGTATATATATTTTCTCACTTTTTGGACATCATTAAAGCAAATGCGAGTACTGGTGATTATTTTTTTTGTTACTATTATTACTGTTGTACTTCTTTCTTTTAGCAAGAATTTGAAGCAATACCTTTTAAATACTTTTGAAGCAATAACTTGTTTCAAGTTGCTTATTAAGAGACTCTTAGTTCACCCTGAAACACATACATCTAAGGAAAAAATCTCTTTACAGATTCATTGTTCAATTTCTTTTCATGTATGAAACTTGCCTTAGAAACTTATTTTTCCTTTTTTAATTGAAAAGTATTTAATGAAACAACATGCTTTCATGTTTATAATGCAAAGAAAGCATTTGTATTATATACTTACTCTATGCTCACTTGTATGTATGTTATTCTGAAAAGTCACTTGGGGACAGGAGTGGAACGTTGGAATTTGTAACATCCTAGTCCCCACTTTTTTAAGGAACCCTTACATTTGGGAGTTGGTAGCTCAGTTTGCAATTCTTGAAAGCAGTTAACATGCTTTTTTCTGTCTAACAGGTTTAATAGGTTAGCTGTACTCCTGCTGAGTCACAGTACATGCACGTGGTAGTAATGAAAGGAAATATGTCCTTAAATCCCTTCTTCTGCCTTTTCATCCCCCAGCAGCTATTTCTTTCATCCCCTTCTTCTGAGTTTATTCTTCCCCCACCCCCATGGCCCACGTTAGATGTGGCTTTATTCTCAGGCAGCAGTAATTTAAAGGGTGTGAGTTATGACACACAAGTTCTGCAAGTGAAAATGTAGTGGATTCCTTCAGCAGAGTCTGGCTTGTACTTGCTTGAAAATTAGAGAGTAGCTTTGACAAATTTCACATGTAATGTAGACAGCTAGCAGGCAGCAAGCCTCTCCTGCGTGTAAATGACTGTGACAACTGAAACCAATAGGCAGATTCTCTCATATATTAGCAACCAAGTACTTCAGGAGCTTTGATGTTCTTTTAGACTGTCAGTGTTTCTGTGTCCAGATGAAAATGTCAGCACTAGTCTGCCTTGGATGCAGAGTATGTGTGACTGCTGATGTGTTCAAGCTCTGAAGTACAGCTGGAGAGGACACTACTTTGTCACTGTAACTATTGCTTCACATGCCATTTTTTAGAAAAATGTATTGACTGACTTATGCCATGATGTGTCACTGATATTTTCAAACTTTAATAAGCACTGTTTCTGTCATTTTTGCCATCTAGCGTGGAAAATATTCCTGCCACTGCCCTAAAGAGAGCTTTTATGCTACATGGCTAGAACTTGAGGTGGTTTATAATAATTTTCAACCATTTTTAATTGAATAGAAATTAGTTGAGCTACTATCAGTTTTAAGCAGGTAGGCAAACTCTGGTGTTACATTAAACTTTTAAATGTTATTATATTTCTACCATTCAGTGAAGATTCCCATAATTCAGGAAAGCACAGTGTTATTCTGTAAGCAAAGTAGAATCACACCATCTCTTAAGTTGTGGTACAGTGTCATGTTTCAACAAACAAAATACAGATGTTCTTTATGACATGCTCTCTCAGCTTTCAGCTTTTGGATTCACAGATACTCAATTTTTGATGCTCTTGCTTTAGACCTGCTACACATGTGCTTTTTAGGAAGTCCCTGCAAAATGTAATGATGATTTCAATGACTTGACCAATCAAACCATCATGATATAAAACTTTGGTAATTCACACACATAGATTATGTTTATCCAGCAACATCTGTGTTGACAAGATTGAGGTAGCTCTGATTATTATAAACAAGAGGGGAAAAAACAACCAAGAGCCAAATAACTATAACTAAAGGTCATAATTCCTTGCTACAGAAACAGTGCTGCAGTTCTGCTAAAATCCAGTGCCTCTGTACTACTGTGTGTAATTGCTGAATTCAGTTTTTCTTGTGAAGCATCAGTGTTGACACAGATGTTCGAAGGAGCAGCTAAACCTACAACTGTCAGTTGAGCAGCTTAGCAACATTGTCCTGCTTATAGAATCTACTTCAAGGAGCGTCAGGCTTTGTTCAAAATACTGGCTTTTGGGTAATCCTGTATCTGACTCCCTTGCACACAAGCAGCACGCTGTTCCAATCTGCCAAGCCAACGTTTCTCAACTAAGAGTGTTTCCTTCCCTTTTTTTTTAATGCTGTTTTTCTCAGTAAAAAAAAAAAATCATTAGTTGCTCTATATGTATAAATATGAACTGGGTAGAGCCCTTCCCAAATCTTCGTTCGCGAAGCCTAGCCATGATGATGATGATGGTAAATATGAACACTTTCCTAGGTGTAAGTGCATTTTCATGACACAAGAGAGTCTTCACACTGTGACAGAGGGTTGCTGTCCCAAAAGAAATGCAGAGGCAACACTTGCTTTCTCAGAACCCATCCAAATTCATAAAACTTGCAGTATAATAAATTGCTGGTAGTAAATACTACCAAGCCAATAGGGGAGAAAAAAACAAAGCTTTATTGGTGCTGGTTTTAAGTGGAAGGAATTCAGACAGGAGAACTTGTGTCTCTCCAGCTTGAACATATAACCTGTATTTACAGTTTCAAAATAACTGCTAGTTCTCTGCTTTTAAAAAGTCACAGTTGTACTTGGAACATGGCTTAAGCTTCATTGTTATCATAGTCATGAAAATAAATCTTTTACACATCTGTAAGATGCATAATTTTAAGATTTACATAAAAGGCAAAGTGCTAAACTGCACTGTTATGGAAAGCATGGGATGAGAATACCAGTGATGGGGAATTGCAGCAGAAGTATTGTTGATAAAATACAGTGAATTTCAAAGAATAAATGTTATTTGGTCTCCTTAGGGGCAAAAATATTTTATTGCAAATGATATACAATAGAATACCAAACACGTTAGGTAGTACCTAACTAAATTTTTCAGAAAATCTTGTCGTTTACCTGATTGAGATGTAGACTGATCTCACTTGCTCTCATTACTGGGGTCTTCATGGCTTGCCTTCGTGCTTTTTTAACTGAGTTTTATATGCTATGAAGTCAGTACTCCCTCTCTTTCTGAGTCTAGTTTTCAGTACCAGATAGTGCAATTTTTTCTCCACATGCTCCTTTTGCATGAGGTGCTGCAAAGTCTTCAAACCCATTATGATAACCACCCTGGCTCTGTCACCCATCCAGCCCTGCTGTGCTGCTTGGAACACGGATGGCTGACTTGGCAGTTAGTAGGAGAAAATGTGTCTTGCTGGTGGTGTAATAATATGACTTGATGGTGTCATTATTGCTGCCTTTACCTTCTCTGTTCTGTTCCTGTTTTACTTTATACTTCTGTAATAAATTTCTGGGTTGTAAAGAGTGTGTCAGCATGTGTGTGTGCATAAGGTAGGGTAGCGAAATAAAAAGAAATGGTTCAGCGTGTTAAGGACACTTGGTAAGTACAATTTGCACTGGGCCAAATGAGAGGCCCAGTAATATTGTCTTGGTAGAGGAGTGTACAGGTCCATCTGTGCTGTAATTTACTGCTTTTGAGTTTTCTTTGCCACATAGGTATGTTTAGTGTAATCGTGCTGCATAACTTTAACCACTGCGTTTATGCTTTTAAGCAGCATACTTCTAATCAGCTGCAAAATATTCTTGCTTAACTTTTGATTTACTGAAAGAATACATTTTTGTTGTAAAAAAATGAAAGACCTGGCAATGTGCACTCACAGCCCAGAAGGCCAACTGTATCCTGGGCTGCATAAAAAGCGTTGTGGCCAGCAGGTCGAGGGAGGTGACTGTCCTCTTCTACCCTGCTCTGGTGAGACCCCACCTGGAGTGCTGCTTCCAGCTCTGGGCCCCCAGCATAAGAATGACATGGGCTTGTTGGAGCAAGTCCAGAGGAGGGACACAAAAATTATCAGAGTGCTGGAGCACCTCACCTTACAGGCTGTGTGTGTTGTGTTTGTTCAGCCTAGAGAAGAGAAGGCTCCAGGGAGACTTCATAGCACCTTACAGTACCTAAAGGGGGCTGACAAGAGCTGGAGAGGAATTTTTTATGAGGGCACATAGTGACAGGACAAAGGGGAATGGCTTCAAATGACAGGAGGATAGGTTTAGATTAGATGTTCAGAAGAAATTCTTTACTCTGAGAGTGGTGAGGCGCTGAAACAGGTTGCCCAGAGAAGTTGTGGATGTCCCTTCCCTGGAATTGTTCAAGGCCATGCTAGATGGGGCTTTGAGGAAACTGGTTTACTGGAAAGTGTCCCCACCCATGGCAAGGGAGTTGGAACTAGATGGTCTTTCAGGTCACTTCCAACCTAAACCATTTTGTGATTCTATGACCTGTAATGGCCGTTATCTAGACTTGAAACCCTTTATTATGAAATGTCAGAACTTCTATTTGGCCTTAACTGAACTTCCATTTTCATAGAAGCAATGCAGTAGATCTATTTAAAGGCACTGAAGAAATAAGAGCAAGAGATTTTTGAGACTTCCTCATAAGGGTTGAGGACAGGGGATCACTTTGACTATAATATTAGTGTCTTTTTTATTTCTGGGGTTTTTTTTCTCAGCTCTTTGTTTGAGAGATGCAACTACTCATCAAAGGCTTGTTTTCTGTTTTCCACTCTGAAAACATATCTGTGTAATCCCTTCAGAAAACCATTTATTGTCAAACATGTAGATCAGATTGTAGACTCTTTTTGTTGTCAGATGAATTTAATTATCCCAGTAATATATCTTGTTTTCTTCCTGTTTTCTCTGAATTGTGTGCAACACAATGATAACATTTAAAATAAGTGCTTAGAAGAATAGAAATAGAGAAGGCTAACAGACTGTGAACCTTAATGAGCTCACAGATAGATCTGTGGAAAGTTTCTTGCTGCATTAATCCCCAGATTCTAAAATGTGTTTAGAGTAGTTTAGCATTACTGTTGGTTTCTATGTTGTTTTACTGTTTTGATTTATGCTTGCTTTCTTCTTAAGTTTGGAGGGTAGTTTTGACTAAATTCTTCTAGTAAACAGATTTACTAATTAAATATTTCTCTGTTCTCTCAATAGCTAGAGATGATTGCCATGGAAAATCCTGCAGACTTGAAGAAGCAATTGTATGTTGAATTTGAAGGAGAGCAAGGGGTAGATGAAGGAGGTGTTTCCAAAGAATTTTTTCAACTGGTTGTGGAAGAAATCTTCAATCCAGATATTGGTATGTGTTCTAATAATTTACTAATTTAACGGATTGTTCTCACAAAAGGTTTGCCTGGATGATCTTTGAAGGTCCCTTCCAATATGGATTGTTCTGTGTTTATACATTGCCTTTCTATATCCACTGCTGCTTCTCTCTGAAGTTTTTCAGATTCACTGGTGATCATGAGAGTATTTGACACACATTGAGGCTCATTGTCATCATCAGTCATCCTCCTAAGGAGGAATGATGAAAGGAATAACTGTGTGTAGTTAGTGAGATCTGTCATTGCTTGTTTAGATACAAGTGAGTAGTACAGGGTTTCTTTGGAGGGTTCCTTTGTTGTTCTCTCACCTTTCTCCTCACCTTGCTTTGTGATTAGCTTCTAGAATTAGTAATCAAACCAAAGAGGAAGAGCTTCTGCAATAAAGCAAAAGTAGGACTATGGTGAGTTTTTGAGTTATTTCCTCCCCTTCCTCCAGCTTAATAAATCTGGTAGTCTCAATTCTACAGATCCAAAGTGTGGCCGTAATGTCAAATTTGATTGTAGTTAGTTAAGAACCAAGAGTAATTTGATATATTGGGGCCAAAAATTAACATTTCTATTGTAGCAGTCACATCTCCATCTTACCCGGTTTTCCCTTGCTTCCTGCACCAGTCTTTTATGCTTCTGTCTTTATACATGCAAGGACATGCTGCTTTTGGTATGCAGCTTGTCTGCTATTTTGAAAAGATTAAAATGTTATAAAATTATACAAATATTTTGTGTTGGAATAGAAATGAGATCTTCCAGGTTCCTATACTAATTTCATATATTCTATGTGATATATGATGTCACATTGTACTTCATTGTACTTCCTGTAATGGCTTCCGTTAAAGAAGCTCAACAGCCATTAGTTGATTTGGTTTCATTGGACAGTTTTAAAAAAGAAAGCTTGGTTTTGTAGCTTAGAAAATTGACAAAAATACACAGAAATGCGTTTTGACCAGGTTAAAGAGGAAGTCCCCAGAGTCAGTAACAGAATATGAACCTTGGCACTTGCCCTTCACCATATGCAAGACAGTTCTTATAACAAGTGGTACAGAGCCATAGGCAAGTCTTACTCTGAAAACTATTAACTCGGAGAGATTTGTAATCTGAGATAGCAAGCTTACTTGAAATAAATTAAAGTATTGCAAAATAAGGAAGTCTTAGTACTTTGATGAAGTTATCTTTCCAATGCTAAATAAATAGATTTTTAACCCAAGTTTATCTTAACAGAACTTGTATGGGTGCCTATATTGAAATACTCTTTTTTTAATAATGCTAAAGTCTGCTTCAGCTAAGATCCAACCAATGTATATATACTTACTGTGTTTGTAGACTAGATGTGCATGCACATTTTAAATTTTACTTCCATATTCAAAATACAAAAAAGTATGTACGCTTTTTGTATTCGTAGTAACTTGGGGGGTAAGGGGAAAGGACATTTATTGGCTTTTGGCATAAATATGTAAAAGCAGAAAATGTAGCTTGCATTCACAGTCGTCTTTTCTTTGGCACCTATTAACATGCATTGCAGCATAACAGTTTATGTATGCACCATATGTACCAAGTGTGCCTTTTGTTGATTTTTAAACACTTATTTACCTGAGAAAACAAAGGAGATCCTTTAAATGGAATTTAAAATTTCTGTCCTCTAATAGGTAGGTATGGAGTGATGTATATTGTTGTAATAGTTTTTTTTCAAGTGTTTCCATATTAGACTATCTTAAAGTTTTTCTCAGAGGAGACAGTAACTCAGAAAAAATATTGGATTTATGAGCAACAGTCACTATGGAAAAAGGGAAGAAGTGATAACTTCATATAATATCCCTAGCAACACTATACACTTGTTTTCCTCTTACTGAAGATTCCAGTTTCTTCTGGTGTTTCATTATTATTTTAATGTACTGTAGTATTAATTTTGGTCAGGGAATAAAAAATATTGTATTTCACATTAAAGTGTTTACAGATGTGGATCTGAGTAAACTGTTAATCCTTCGTGATTAGACATTTGGTGGATTTGTGTGTTTTGTGCTTTAACAGTTTAACTCTTCTGTCATCTTCCAGAAAGTGCAAGTCATATTGCTTTTATATGCCAGTAATCCAGAAGTTACTTCAGTCAGTTCAGAAAATGGAACACAGGATTCTATATAATTCTATATACTGTTTCTCCTATATATGCCTTAGTTGCTTATCTGTTTCTGATTTTCCAGTTGCCTTATCTGATGTGTCAGTCTGTTATTTGTGTGCTTCCTGAATAGCTGACCCTGTCCTAGTACCTTACTGAGATAAAGAATCAATTTTGGGGAAAAACCAGAGTCTCTGAATGAGCTTGCAGTTCATATCCTGACACTGAATGAGAAATCAGTCTTTATCTCTTGGCTGAAGGTGACATTTTCAGTCGTTAAGAGTGATTTTGTGGCTCTGTTCGTGTGGCTTAGTAATCAATTTGTACATCTACATAGCTTGTAAATAAGCATATCTTTTACGAGCTGCAAGATAAATCCCTGTGGCAAATGTAGTCGATATTCTTGACCACATGGATCTGACTTGTAGTGTGTTGGGAATAAGGAGCTTGGGGAACTTTTTCTTAGGTTCTGCCTGGGAATCATGAGAGTTAGCTGTACAAGCAACAGGTCACTGGGACTATACTTGTCCAGGGCAGTCTCTCTCTCCCCTTAAGTCTGTGGGGTTTGCATTTATCTTGTTTCAGTATCTAGACAGGTAAGCAATGGATTTAATTGTAGGATTCATTTAAATAATTTATAGCCTGTATACAAACTCTGGTTTCATGAAGAGCTATCTTGTGTCTTGATACAACCAAAAGGGTAAGAGACTCTTTGCCTATCTCTTGTCCGCACAGTCATATCCTCTCCCTGCAACTGCTGTCATGTGCCCGTTCAGGTGTTTGTTGCAGACTTCGGCACTCAGCTCATGAGTTGGGCAGAAATTGGTCACCTGAAATAGTGACCTGAATGAAGAGAGGGAGACAAAGCAAAATGACTCCCTTTGAACAGTGACAGGCTGTAAAATTGCAGCTCCTCCTGTGGTCCCATGGTCCCTTTTCCCCTCAAGTTCAAATGTATGTAATAGCTGCAGAAACAATGGTCCTTGAAACAAGCAAACAAATCTGTTGGGCATCTAACTCTAAAATCATGTGTGATAGTCAATCCCTGCTCCATCTTCATAGTTTCTAATGCAGTCACAGGGCTGCATCTAGTCCTGTTCATTTGCTGGAACTGGCCTGAAAAAGCCTTTGAGGAAAGGCTGTCACTTTTTAGTAATTGGAATCCTTCAGGATTGTTTCATCCACATGGTTTTTGATTGTGTTCTTTTCTTGCCCTGTTGTATTTGTCAAAGTTACAATCGATGTTGACAATGTGTTGCTGGTTCCTCAGAAATGGAGGGGATGAAAGCTTGCACAGGTGCAGCTTCGTGGGTGTTGCAGATGTATCACAGGTCTCTTGCATATTTTTAGTGGTGATGTGGGTAACAGTGTTTTGCGCAGCTCCAGTTTACCCTAAGGTAAATAGTTTCTCTTTGCCATTAAATTCAGTATAATGTTAAGTTAAACATGTTTTCAAGGCTAATGCAAATGGGTTAATAACGATAAGTTTTACATGCCGTTTTTATTGAATTGTAACAGATATTGTTCAACTTTTTTTTTAACAGGGATGTTCACATACGATGAATCTACAAAACTCTTCTGGTTTAATCCGTCCTCTTTTGAAACTGAGGGTCAGTTTACCCTGATTGGCATAGTACTGGGTCTGGCTATTTACAACAACTGTATACTGGATGTACATTTTCCCATGGTTGTCTACAGGAAGCTAATGGGCAAAAAAGGAACTTTCCGTGATCTGGCAGACTCTCATCCTGTAAGTTCCTTATGTTCTTTGAGTTTATTAATATATTTTCCATGCAATAACTTAATGTAGATTTAAATTAAACGCAAGATCACTGTCAGAAGTGGAAGTGAAATAACCAGTGACTCATGTGAAGAGTCTATATTTGTTAAAATAAATTCATAAGCAATAAAGCCTCTGGTTAGAAGGAGGCAGAACTGTAAAGTCAACAAATAAGGCTGGGTATCGGTAAAGCTTCGTTTTATTTTTTTACTGCATGAATTGCTAAATATCATTAAGCACTATTAAGCATAAACAAATATTAATGGTATCTTCCCAAAGAGACTTCTAAAATTAGGCTTCTTATAGCTATTTGTAGAAGTACATTTCTAGGAAAAAAATGTCAAAGTAATAGTAGACATGCAAAGGTGTGATGCTCCTATTTTTTGTCTAAAGCAAAAGATAGATGAGGCAGTTAATGAATATCCCTACAGTCTGGGAGCAGTGATCAGCATCCATCTTCCCCACCCCTTCCCAGTTAGCGGCTGTACAAAAGCACTGAGCTGTACGTGAGCTTTGGTAGGTAGAACATACAAGTGTCTGTGCAGGATGTCTTGGCCGTGTTCCACCTGCATTCAGAGATCACCAGTAGCTTCCCCTCATCTTGGCTGGTGTCAGTTGTTAGTAAGCTTCATTTAATTTCAAATGCTGAGACATTCCCCTTTTATGAGCAGTTATGCAAAATCTTAGGCTATTCGAAGAAGATGACTAATGATACTGTTTAGAAAGAACTAACTTTTCATTTTTGAAAACGAGGCATGTGTGATCAACAAATACATTATCCAGTCTGCTTTGGATGGCTACATACAACAGTGTACCAGATTCAACCAGTTTTTCTGTATAATATTGAGAAATAGACAGTGCCCTGAGTTTTCTTTGATTTTTATTATATACTCAAAAGCTTTTGTGACAGAAAAAGTGGATTTACTTCTATGGAACAAGGCAGTCAGGGCATTTCCTAATCTTTCTCCCGTGCTCTTATGTTTCTCCTCTGACACCTGCACTGACTTTTAAAATAATCCTTTTTTAACTCTTTGTATTCTAATATGACTTAAACACTTCAGAGCTTTTCAAACCAAAATGAAATTCTCAGTAGTCAAGCCTCACAATGTTTTTTCTAATGCTGTACAGCATGAACAATAGGGTTTTCACCAGCCTTCACCACCAACAGTTCCAAGTCCAGTCATTTTCAATGCAAGTTATTTTTAAAGGTCCTGTGGAAGAATCAAAAAGACACAGATAGTGAGAGGTTGAGGCTTACTTTCATTTATTACTTCTTGCACACAGTTGTTGCTTTTACCTTCCCTTTGCATTTTCTAGCTCTGTACATCTGTCTCAGCCAAATAATTGTTCCTTTTCTGCATAGCCTTTGGTTTCCAAAAGAGTCTTGGGCTTTTCCTAAGGCATAGCAGGGAGGAAAGCTGGTTGCTCCTTTGAATAGAGCAAACTCTTCCAGGTAATTTCAGATTCCACTTGGTAAATTCTGACCTAACTTGTGATTTATTTTTTGTTGTTCGTAAATGTCTTCTTATGTTAAAGACTGCCCCATCTGTGTTGCTTCAGGATTACTTCCTATGTGGTTTGCATTTTAAATCAAGATGTAGGAGATAAAAGCCTGGTGCCTGAACTTTATATGATATAAAATACAGCATTTTCTTTGATTTTAACACATAAATGTTCCACTTACTAGTGTAACGTGTTCTGGATGCCTAAAGTAAATATCGTCTCAAAAGAGTTAAGAAGAGGCAATTAATGGCTTTTAAGCTGCAGATTTGATCATTGCATTTAGGAATATTGCTGGGTACTGACCGGCTCTTTTAAGAGTTATATTCATTGCCATGTTTCTTTTTTATTCTTAATATCTGCTGTTTTTCATTTTTACAAATGCTGAGCTTAATAAACCATTGTTTGGACTGCCATGGGAGATTTCAGGTGACTTGTGTCATAGAATATAACAACCCTTTTTTGAGGCAGGTGATTTCACATCCTCTGGTATTACTTGGTGAAATCTATTGAAGCTCATTTTTTGACAGAGATTTATTTCTTATTCTGTTAGGTTCTTTACCAGAGCTTGAGAGACTTGCTAGAGTATGAAGGAAGTGTGGAAGATGATATGATGATAACATTTCAGATATCTCACACGGATCTCTTTGGCAATCCAATGATGCATGATTTAAAGGAAAACGGTGATAAAATTCCTATTACAAATGAAAACAGAAAGGTACGCTCAACTTTTTAAGCAGAATCTGTCATCATGGTCATGGGTCGTGGCTAGGTTTCGCGAACGAAGATTTGGGAAGGGCTTTGCCCACGTTTGTTACAAGTGCGCTGGTAAGATGTCGCTACAGGGCTTTGCAAATGTGGGTAAGGCCTTCGAGCCTGCGCAGTGGATTTTTTAGGTGAGATGCAGCACGCGCGGAACTGAACCCACCCTTTAACCCTAAGGTTCATCTGCCAGGGCCGAGCGAACTTGGACGGTGGCAGCAAGGTCCTCAGGATGTAGGTTTAATTAGAGTGACCTTCTCTTAGATGGATGGCCTTACAGGGCTAAGCGAGCTCCCTCTGCCCAGGTTTAGAGTTGTCCTTCTCCTCTGTGTGCTCCGAGGCTACACCTCTCATCTCCCATGAGGGCACAGTCCGCGCCAGCGAAGCTCCCCCTCTCTCTCTCCTTTCCGCGCCCGGGGCTGGGCCCAAGCGCCAGGGGCCGGGCCGCGCCATGCGCCTACGTACCAGGCCGGGGGCCGCGAAACAGAATCTGTAGTTCTTAGATATGCTTACTATATGTAGAATTATGTAGTACTCTATAAAGGTTTGGTCTCACTTATAATGTAAATTTAAAAGGCTTTTAAAATTGGCATACCACAGGGTAATTGTGAATGGAAAAGGCTCCTCTTAAAGAAAGCATCGATACATGCATGTGTAGCTTCTGGGTGTGGTGTTCGGCCTGTTTGAGCAACATTGAGACTCATTCTTTATTGTTGCTGAGTAAAAGCTGAGCCCAGATAATCCATGTAGAATTATAGAATTGCACATATTTTGGGGTCTTGTATTTTTGGGAGGTACTTCAAGTGGCATGTGTTGAAGCACTAAGGGATTTATTTCCTTGCAGGAATTTGTCAATCTGTATGCTGACTACATACTCAATAAGTCGGTAGAAAAGCAGTTCAAGGCCTTTCGGAGAGGATTCCACATGGTGACCAATGAATCTCCTTTGAAATATTTATTTAGACCAGAGGAAATTGAATTACTTATTTGTGGAAGTAGGGTAAGAATTCTGAATGTACACCAGAGAGTGGAGCTTTTTTTGATCCTAAATATATAATTAGTGGTCATCTTTAAAAATATCATCTTCTTACAGAATTTAGATTTTCAAGCACTAGAAGAAACCACAGAATATGATGGTGGCTATACAAGAGACTCTCTTATTATTAGGTAATTTTTTACTAATTTTTAAAGATAAAAAAGCACTTTATCTGCCTGTGTCTTAATAATGAATTTAATATTGTAATTTTTGGTATTTTTCTAGTACTGGAGATGCAAATGTCTTATGTATAATTTCACTTTACTCAAGTATTGTTATTAGAAAAGAGGAGATGATATAAGCATTGTTGAATCAGTATTTCCTTAGGAAATAGGAATAATAAAATAAAGTAAGAATATCTGCAGAACACTTCCTAGCTAAGTTAATGTTTTAAAGACAGTTAAACTGCGATGTTTGGATAATATTTCTGATTTCTACTTCTGAATCTCATTGATTGGTAAATACATTCTGTTAGTTTTGGTTTATGAATACAACTTGTAAACTTGATGTTAAGCCTAATTAGAATTACTACACCTTCAAAGCTCAATTACTTTTGAAAGTCTCACTTATACCAAAGAAAATTTACAGTTTACTTACTTTTTGATTTCTTCCTTGGTAGGGAATTCTGGGAAATAGTCCATTCATTTACGGATGAACAGAAAAGACTATTCTTGCAGTTTACAACAGGCACAGACAGAGCCCCTGTGGGAGGACTTGGAAAGTTAAAGATGATCATAGCCAAAAATGGCCCAGATACAGAGAGGTAAATAAAAAGAAAAAAATCTACATTTTTTTGTGTTTGTTCATAAATGGAAGGGAATTCTGTGCTTTTAAGTTATTAACCTAGTTAAATCTGAAAGTTGAATCTATAAGAAGAGTAAATTTCCTTTAAATGTATTATTTTGTACTTGTGAAATAGCGATGTATTTCTTTTGCATGTACTGCATGTTCCCAGATCTGAATTAGTATCTTGTTTGTTTGTTTTTGTTTTCCCCCCAGGTTACCTACATCTCACACATGCTTTAATGTACTTTTGCTTCCGGAGTACTCAAGCAAAGAAAAGCTTAAAGAAAGATTATTGAAGGCCATCACGTATGCCAAAGGATTTGGCATGCTGTAATAAATATAACAAAAGGGATTAAAAAATGATGGTGATGATGTCCCTGTCCAAAAAGGCCATAAGATAGTGAGCTACAGTAGTCACCTGTGTTTGTGCCTCCCTTCTTTACTGGGGACATTGGGCTGGAACAGCAGATTTCAGCTGCTTATATGAACAAAATCTTTATTTTTTCTTTTAGCGTGAAAGTGTTACATATTCTTTCACTTGTATGTACAGAGAGGTTTTCCTGAATATTTATTTTAAGGGTTAAATCACTTTTGCTTGTGTTTATTACTGCTTGAAGTTGAGCCTTTTTGAGTATTTACAAGAAAACAAACTGTACTCTCCCAAGGAAAATATTGCCATCATTTGTAGACCATGTAACCTTCAAGTATGTGCTATATTTTTGTCCCTGTATCTAATCAAATCAAGAACTGTACTTTTTGAGAAGTTTGCTTTTGAAACTTGAAGTCTTGGAAAACAGTGTGATGCAATTACTGCTGTTCTAGCCCCCAAAGAGTTTCTGTGCAAAATCTTAAGAATCAATAAAGATGGAAGGGAGAACTTGGAATGTTAAATTGCAGCCTTGAGAACTTTACTTTAGTCACAGCACAACAATTAAAATTCATTTCACTATATGTTGTCTTCACATGTCTTGTAATAAACTGTGTTTTTAATTAGGAAACATTTCTTAGCATATGAAAGGATAGAAATTTTAGTTACTTTTTTAAAAAAAGAAGTTTACTGGGGAAAGTGCATTTTCAATGAACAGCTTTAGAGTAGGGAGTGAAGTGTCTCAAAAAAAAGATAGGAAGTTTTTGCTATATTATAAAAAAGGCATGTGGAAGTGCACTTAAAATGAAGTTTTATTCTTAATTGCCTATTATGTTGACATTTTAAATAGACAATCCAAAGTCTTCCCTACATGTTATGTCATCATCATTTATTTAATGAATCATTTTTCCTACCTATCAAGGCACATGATCAGTGTTGCGCCATAATCTAAAGGGATGGCTACTGTATTTTAATCTCATCTAACAATAAGCAAAATTGAACAATATTAAACATGAGGCCTACTTCATGTTGTACACTTCCAACCATTAAACTGTTAGAAAGTAAGTACTAAGGTTATGTTCATCTACTACATAAAGTATTCAGTAGGTTTTTAATTTAACTCTACAAATCATATCAGAAATAAATCCTTTACCTTTCGTAGTCTGTGTTTAATGTTAATTTCTCCTGTTGCAATATACGATGAAGGGATTATGCATTTTTAAGTGGCGACATAACTGGCATATCTCTTTTGCAATACAAGCTGCAGCGGGTGTGCAGAGCTGAGCTTGTGCCTTGACAATTGCTATAACTGGCTACTACCGATCAAACCCGTGACTGTGTGGAATTGGCATTAAGAGGCATAGTTTTGAAATCATTGCAGAAAGAAAAGATGTCTTTCAGGACTATTTTAATAAATTCTTTCTAGTAATAGAAACAGACAACTGTTATGTAACTATGATGCTGAATAAAACAATTACCTTTTTTCACCACGGTTCAGTGAAAAAGAAAACAAGTGACTTCCTTACTTTGATAAATTGGATATTAAATTATTTGGTTAGAAAATGTTCTAGTACGGCATAATTTGAGGTTCGCAAGTACAGAAACTCCAGAAGCGAACTGTAGCGATGTGGGGTCCAGCCATGTTCCCCTGTCAAATCTAAGCCAATGCCAGATGGCCTGGACGTGGGGACTGAAACTTGTTGGGGAGGGCGAGGTGCTGTCTGTCTTCTGGCCTTTGATCTCAAGGTGGACCTTAGGACATGCCTTCTTGAATGTCCACCTTGTTGCATGTCCCTGAAGAGGAAAACACAACATATCCTACCTCTCAGTAGTGTGGCTGACAACAGATCTTTGCTGAGCCCTTCAGGTCTGGAGCATCTTTTGCTGTAGGTGGTGAGAACAAGATTTGCCGAGTGCCTTGAGGTGCTTCGTTACAAGTATGAGAACATCTTGATACTGCTGTGTGGTATGTACTGCATCAACAGTCCAATACTGTAAGCTGTATCCCTACAACTTGTTTTATTCTGATGTGGGTATGCCCAGCTGACAGGTATACATGATTCATGTTGGGGTTCTTTATGTAGGTCTAAAAGCTATGCAGATAGCATAATTGGATAGCGACACAAAGGCTTCTAACTGAGTTGTTGACATTGTAAATATGCTTTTTCTGTTTTCCTTTAGCATTAAGATTAAAATAGTGCATAATTGTATTGGCCTTTAAAAGCGTAAGCTGTTTGTCAAGGAGTCATTTTCAGGTAAGATACAAATACTTCATATCTGACTGATTTCTCATTTAAATATATACTGCCTCCCCCAAAATACCACTAAGGAGATAGTTTCGATATCTCCTTAGTGGTGTTATAAATGTCCAGCAGCAGCAGTTGATAAAGTTAAAAATAAGTAAGTCTTGAAGTCTTGTAGCTGCAGGCTGCATTCCTGCCCTGCAGAAGTACCAGTCAGCCTTTTGTTGCTTGAAAGCGAACATGCTATTTTAAGTTTTTTGGGGTTTGTTTTTTTTTGGGGAGGTGGGGGGTGGCGGCTCTAGGCAGACACAAAATGTCTTGCATCCTCACTTAGTCCTTCAACAGCATTTAGCATATTTTAGGTCTACGAAGCTTACCTTGGAAACTTAAGTGTACTTATGTGTCGCTGAAATAAATCTCGCGAGTGAGACAGAAGATTCCTCTTCCAAGGGAGGAGTCTGATGCCAGTGTGCTGGTGCTCTCTCCACAGGGTGTCCTTAATACGTTAACAAGAAAACGTGTTGGATGTCTCAACATTGCCTCATTTGACATGAGAAATGCCTCTTCAAGTATCTCCTTCTGCACCCTAATAGAAAGCTTTTGCTTCTTGCTAAAAAGATTTCCGGAATGACCGTCAGGAGTGAGCACAGTTCAGTTAACTAAGGAACAGCATTTTGTGAATTTCTGACTTCGTTTGTCTTCCATTTGGCAGGCAGCAGCCTGAGAAGGGACTGTGGCAGCCAAGGGGACCCCTCCAACCCTGCAATTTGAGGAAAGCTGATGCTGGAATGGGCTGGCAATAGGCCCAGGGCTCCAAGCAACTCTGTGTTTCAGCAGTCAGTCTGTGCCTCTCACCCAACAGTGGGTTTCACTGCTGAAGCAGGAGCTTCATACCACATACAATAACACGCAGGTGTGATGGACCTGGTGGGCTGAGCCTCCAGGTAGCCTGCAGTGTGGGCTACCCAGATGCTTTCCTGGGTTTCTGCTCTGTGGAGCAGGGAGTTGGACACAGGTTTCCACACTGCTGATGTTCTGCAAGAGGACAACCCCCACATCATCAGCTTTAAGGTGTTTCCCTGGCACTGTTGTAGCCAGTTACCTGCAGGTAAATTTTTAATCTCACTAGAGGATTAAAAATTTCCTGGTTGCCTCAAGAATTTTCAGGATGAAGATGTTTCAGTTGGATGGAATGTTGAGTTGTGCCTTATTTATTCTGCAGAAAAACTCCAGTGTTTCAGCATGCAAGATGGAGCAGGAATTTCTTCCAAGTTTAACTATGCAAAAGCAAGCCTTTCCGGACAAGAGTCAAGTTTATTATGTTTAATCTCAGTCACAAGGGTCTGTGAGGTTACCTACACTTCTTGTTTATACTTAAAAGTTTAATTAAAGTTGTCACCAAATTTGTAAGACCATCAAGGACTTAATTTTATTTTAAAATTTAGTTTTGTAGCATATCATGGAAGGAATGCTGCTTTGGAAATAAGAGTTAATACTGGCATTTGTCTTTAGACAGGTCACTTCTCACCCAGAAAACCCATGAAATAATGTCATTATATTTTTCTCTAGTGCTGCATCTAAAGGTGTCTTCAGCTGTTGATTTGTTTTATTTTTCATTAACAAAATTAAAATGTGTGTGTGAAGGTGGTTTTAGTTGCAGATGTGCATCTTTCCAATATGCAAGTATAATTTTGTTCTATTCTGCAGTAGGATATATCAAGAAAGTGATCCTGATAAATAATTGAAGTTTACCTACTGTGCTTGTGTTTATGGATGTCTTGCTCAGTATTATATCCTGCTTTGGGATTTCTGTGTGGGGAAATGTCTAAGAGTCAAGGACATTGGAGGTGCAAGTAGAATGATGTGAATCATCATTCTATTTTAGGACAATAAAGTAGCATTAGGAACTGCTTATGTTATCTTGCTGCATAGGTTTGTGCAGAGTTTTGAGATTAAAAGAGTGAGAGCAGAGCTGGCTCTGAAAGTCAGACAGCGATTGCTGGAGTTAGGCTTCTGCCTTTGGAAGGACATGCAGCACAGCTCAGCTATAAACAACTGTGTGTGCAGGGATGCCGCTGCTCCTATGGCCTTGGCTTGCAGCTTGTACTGAGCAATGTCAGGTGAAGGTAAAAACTGCAGCAGCCTGAAGATTTGTGACTGAACTATTGTCATGTGCAAAGCTGACATGAAGCCTTTTTTAACTTCACGAAAAGCTCTGGTGTATCTGCTGTGCCAGTGGGTTCCTGTACAGAGAAAATCCCTCAAATCTACCTTCCCATGGCATTCTTCTGCTTCCAGACCTGTATAGTACAGCAGTGCAAGCAACGGTGCTCAGGAGAAACTGTCTATAACATGGCAACTAGTTGAACTTTTCTGTTCCAAGTTTTGAGCTGCCGTACATTGTGTGCTGCTACATTTGATTTAGTTATTTCCCCTTGCAAGCACTCAGTGTTTGAGCAGCAAGGATAAAGATCAGGTGAGCCAATGTTACAAATTTAGGGGGGTTTATTTCCTAATGCAATTGATTTTTAACAAAAAATGGGAAATTTGGCACAAGCATGTTTCCTAAATGAAAAGGAATTTTCAAATTTTCAAAAGAATAATCTCCCTGTGCCATGCACACTGATTTTTAATTTTCTTTAACTGCCATCTATGGTCTGGGGGTTTTTTTGTCTTGCCAGGAAAATGAAGAAACGACATAGTAAAATAGACAAAAAGCTGAGAAATTAACAGCTAATCATCAAGCTCCCCATCATTTCTGCTTTCTGATTTTCCATGTTCTTCAGTTGCCTATTACAGAAAGATTGGTACCAGCCACCACAAATGCTAAGGAAAGAAAAATGGCATAGCAGACAGTAGTAATTCCTTTCATGCATCTCTATTTCTGGTGTTAATAACTTACCCCTGATTTACCTATATAAGTAAGACAGGTCTCTGTTAGAGCTGGACAGTGTCCTCCTTGGTCTGTTGGGAAGACAGCCCATGGAAGTTGAGCCATTGGCATCGCAGCCTGTGCTCTCCCTGCAGGAGCATAGCAGAATCAGTAGAGCTGATGAAGGAAATCTCTGTGTGAGAATTGCTGGTGTGTCCGCAGTAAAGCTGATGTTTGTGTTCATCTTTAAATAATTGCTTAAATAATACAAGTCTTTCCTCCTTACTCCATTCCTAGGGTATGGAAGGGGGAGGATTGCAAACACAGAACAGCAGAACTGTATTTTCCACAGTGAAGCTGCAAGGGCAGTTGGCAGCAGCAGGCCTCAGCCATTGATCTGTGAGATGGAAATGGTTGCAAAATCTGAATTTCAGAAACAAAAGGCCTGACCATTTTTAGCCCCAGAGCTTGTTCCTCAGGGCTTGTGTGTGTTTTCCTCCCCATCCACCCAAGGCAGAGTGTAAGGGAGCAAGGCTTCCCCATCCTCCTTGTAAGGACTTCCCAGGCACCATTCTCCTCCTGCTTTGGACTGTGAATGGGGCTAAGGGGTGAGAGTGGAAGTCTAGGATTGATGGCTTCGCTTAGGAAAGCTGCCACAGCTGAAATCCTGTGCTTTAACTGCCTGTATGGTTGCCAGATCCATTTAGTGCATAATTCATTTTGCTCTCAGGGATACACACAGGGTTTTTACAAATGTTGAATTATATAAACAAGGGTTTGAGTCTTTCTGTTTGTTCCAGGTTGAAAACATTAACAGAAGAACTGGGACCCTTTGAAGCCAAGTGCAGATGCTGTCATCTTGCAAATCTTCAGGGTGAAGAGCAGCTCTCCTTTAGTCTGCCTGACTGTGTTATCTTACTGAACAACCTGGACTAGTTCGGCCTATGAACCTCTCTCTCATCCTTGGTGTCAGCAGTGATACAGACAGGAATGTGTTTTCCAAGCCAGCAACATACAGACCAGCTCAGAGAAAGCACTGATGCTTTTGTGGGGGAAAGGAAAACGAGCAGTTTATTTTTTAATGTAAAGCAGAGCCCTCTTGTAGGTTAATAAATATTTGGCAGGAATAAAACTGTAAAGCAGATGCCTAAGAGAAAAGAATTAAAAGCAGGGTTGTATTTTCTCTGGGCTGTTCCCGAAGACAGAGCTGCACAGTCAAGTTAACCTCAACCCTCAGCTGTACAAATACAGGAGCTGTTTTGCTGTCACTGCCCCTTCTGTTGTCCAGTACATTGAATTTTCCAGAGTAGTTTTCTGCTGTAAAAACTGTAAAGTAAATAATAGTAAGGGATGAGGGTAAAAGGATTTGAGAGCATTTCCAAGAGTAGCAAGGCTTTAATCATTTGCTGTTGGGGCACAGGGTCCATGACTGGAGGCCTTTTCCCTAGAAAAGTTAGCTCTGAGCAGCAGTTGGAGCATGGTGTGCCGCTCCACCACTTTTACTCTCCTTTTGCATGTGGAGCAGATGTTTAAACATCTCCTTTGCCCATCTGGTGCTTCACTCAGAACATGCAGTTTGGAGCAGCAATACCCTTCAATTGGCCCAGGTACAGTGGCCCTTACCCCCACTTGTAGTTTCGGGGCCTGTATTCAAACACTCTGTAAGCGCTGTCTCATTCCTTGCTTTCTCTCGTGGTGGGTTGAAGGCCCAGCCCAACCCCTGCCAGGTAATTTTTGGTAGGTGATGTGTGTGCAAGTAGCAGAAAGCTGTTAAAACTTATTTCTGCTAGACAAAGCACTGTCCCTGCTGTGCCGCCCTGCATGGAGCTGGGGAAGGGGAGGACAGGAGACAGGTGGCAGCAGCATGAAGAGCCCGTCAGACTCTGTGCCTCACAGACCCGGCACCCCTCGGGCAGTGGGGTGGTGGTCGGGTTCATGTGCCTGAGTGGTATCTGCAAACACAGTGATGGTGTCAAAACTGGGCACCAGACCAAAGCTGTGTGCCAGCTGCCCTGCAGTGAGGGGAGAACACCATTCCCACTTAGCTTTCTGTCACTTCAGATCTCTCTTCCAGCTAATGATTTTCCAGGCCATGTAATGTTGAAATGATCAAAGTCTGTCATGAAATACTAAAATATGTAGTGATATGGGTAAGAGAAAACACAGAGTTGCTTGAACATTACTCAAAATATTTTAATGTACATGCTGTAGCCACATTAAAGAAGGGGAAAAAACATCTTACAGAGATAAATTGATATCAAAGGATGTGATGTCGTCATGCCAGAAGCTGTATGTTTCAAAGTGACTGAAACCAGTAGCATCACAATCCTCTTTTTCTGGCATATGAAAACCAGACCAAGAGGCATGGAAAGGGAATAGCAAATATGTATTTAACTGGTAGATTAGGCTGTTCTGATCCATCAGGTAAAGAAGCAGTCTTCTGTTTGTAAGGTTTTTAAACAGGTATAAACAGTACTTTAAACAGCCTTACTTGTATATACCTATTGGGCTGGAACAGCTGTACTATGTTGGGTAGATAGATATTTACAGAGGATGATGACCGATGTAGAACACGTCAATAAGTACAAAGCACCTACCAGATGTGGTGTAGGAGTAACACAGCAGTGAACATCAGCCACAGGTGAGTGCAGTACCTGCTTCTCTTACGAGGTGCAGCAGCCTGTGACTGCCCCGTCTGTGCTTGCCGTGGTCCAGTGCCATGAGCCCACACCCAGCTCCACCTCAGCCCTGCTTTCCTCAGGGGTAGCGAGGGCACTAGACCCTGCCAAAAGCAGCCTCTCTGACCTCCCCATTGGTCTCAAATCCTTAAAGAAAATAAGGACAAAATTCAGCTGACAGACCAAAACTCCCCAATGCCACTGGCCACATACAGGTCTCAGCTACTTTCCAAACCACTTGTTACTGTCAGTGGAAATTTTGATAATAGAGGTTAAGACCAGTCTACAGTAGATACCTAAGTGTAGTTGTCTTCTAGGCCAATGATAACAGGAGTTTAGACATGGGCCATGTGTGGACATTACTACCCAATGGTCCCTTTGCCAGTGTTGCTGGCAAAGCCCTGTTCCTTAGTCACTGACAGATTTATCTCCGTCACTAGGCTCAAAAGTGTCAATAGAAAGGGGACAGCTGCTTGCCCAGAGATAAGTGCGTACTCTGAGCAGTTGTATTCAGTTTAGCAAAACCACCTCTTTTTATTCCACTACCATGCAGTTAAACCACCCTCAGTGGATTTCTCACCAATTCTCCCACATGCCATCAATCCCACGTGCTGTTAGGGCTCCTCAGTCAGGACTGAGGACAATTGAAAAGTCAGAGCAGTGCCCATGGTAATACCTAATGCCATTGGAGAATCCAGCTCCTGTGCCATGGGTGCTGAACAGGCTGTGCTACTCCATACTTTTCAAAAAGCAGTGCGGTAAGGGAGGATAGTAACATAGGGAAAGTTACATGACAGAAAAATACTGTACAGCAAAAAATGAAAGCTAGTATCTTCCCAGCAGGAGAATACTAAAAAAATCCCCT